CATTAATTTCATATCTAATTACAAAAAATTCTTGTTTCAAATTTTGTTAAATATATTTAGGTATTTTCTTAAAAATATCTATAGACCAGAGAACTGCAACTAGTCATAATTTTAACACTCAGAGTACACATGAAAAACCATATATAAATGAGTATTATTGTTTTTCTCATCCACTACTTATATGTATTCATATTCGCCACAGAAATTATTCTAAGTAGAGTCGTATGAATGGCAAACGACTCATATACTCAAGTGGTAAGAATCAATGAATGTATTCATTTAAAATGTATGACTTGATCAGCCATTCGTAAAGATTTTGTGTGAGTGCTGTTGTTGCTAAGCAAAAAATTTGTGTGTGTTTAGTTTTATACCGTTGGTGTGTGTGTGTGATTTGTTTGTATTTATATATTTTGTTTGTGTTCTTAGACATTATGTGTGCATTTAATTAGGGGTTGTTTTTGTAGGAAATTATATGCACAATATACAATGACTGACAAATTTTTCCCGACGTAATACTCGTGAATGATTCATAAATCAGTTGCATCATTTTGGTGTCGAGTGTCTGTGTTTATGAGTGTCATTTGAGTAGAGTATACTTATATCGTTATATTTGTAATAAAATTTGATTATAATAAATTTGATATAGGATATTTACTATAAACCAACGATTTATCCATTTATATAATTGTTTTATTTCAATTCTTTTTATGCATTTTCTAAAACTAAATGTTATGATAATCAACTGATATCCAGAAGAACATCAAATATATCAAAATATATATGTATTTAATTCATTAGAGAACAATAAAAAAACATTAAATTTAAATTTACTTTATTTATCAATATCAATATGCGGTCATAGAAATATCAATGTCCCAATAACAGATCACCCATTTATGGATCAATAAGTTTTCAATAAGGTGTTAAATAAGTTTTTATATCTGACGCTTCGAAAGTTATAGTGTAACAAAATTAATTCTTCTTTTTTATATTAACTTATTAACTCCAGACAGTACCGCCACTTGATTTCTATAATTGTTAATGGATTACAAAAATTGCATGCATTTCCAATAAGAAAAAGGTTGTAACACTGATAAGTGTTTTTGGTAGACACCAGGTCGCGCTTTCCCTCCTGCCTTGTATTTATTCCGCACTTGGCGCTTTGACTTAATTTACTTTATTACCAAATAAAATTGGATTTTTATTAAAAAAGCAGATACTTTTTTAAAATATAATTATAAAGAAACTGAGTGCACGATTTTATTGAATTTTACGCTATTAATAGGAAATTTCTTCAATATCATGGAGATATACATAAATGATTGCGGTCCCTCTCTTCTACAAAAAATTATTGATTAATTTATTTTTATTTCTAATGATATGAATAAAATATTTTATTAATATTTTTCAATTATGTTTTATGATATATTTATTAACATTTGTCAACGTTTAGTTTTTTTCAAATAAGTGTTTTTGAATTATGATTTTTATGTTTGATACAATTTTCTGGAACTTTGACAAATACAATTTTTCTAGATTTTATGTTAATAGAAAGTTTGTTTTATTCTCTTGAAAGATATTCGTATGCAATTTGATCCTTATTATAGGTTATTTTTATTTAATTTTTAGATAGGAAAGTCGCTTTTGCTACTCAATTTCTAATTCATTAATTTGCAATAACTGCGTAAAATATATAAACGTCATATTCACTCTTCAAATATAGATGCCGCTGCTCCTCCCGCCTTGAATTTCCACCGCAATTGGCGCTATGAGTTTGGGCGTTTTTTTTTCAAACAATTGGATTTTTGGTGAAAAATAAACAATTTAAAAAAAATTGTCAAAATCTATGTGCACTATTTTGATGATTTCCTACTTTTTAAAAAGAAAATTTCCTTATCTTTGAAGAAAAATGTATTGCATTGCTATCCTTCTCTTGCACACGAGGTTATATTGATTACAGTAAAGTAAGCTTGAAAAAAGATCTTTTTTTAGTCAGTTTTTTATGAGAAACGTAAGTTATTCTTGTGACGTTTTAAAAGTTTTGAAAGTTTTGTGATGTTTCTCAATATTTCTCATTTTTAGGTTTTTAAAATAAGTAATATTTAAGTAGTATTGATATTTATTTTCAATACGATTTTCCACAAATTCCACAAGCTCAATTTTTTTTATTTTTAAGTCAACAGAAAGTTTGTTTTATTGCCTTGCAGGTGCATATGTTTGGTTGTTTTTTAATAATTTAAGGGCTTCATGTACATTTTGATACATATAACAGTTTTCTTTAATTAATTTTTTTTAGATTGATTTGCAGCAAATGTGCGTAAAAAATACAAATGTCATATTCGCACTTGAAAAATAGATCGCGCTTTTCCTCCTGCCTTGACTTTACTCCGCCTTTGGCGCTGTGGATGTTCACATTTGTTTTTTACTAATTAGTTTTTTTTAGTAAAAAATGGACAATTTAAAAAAAATAATGTGAAAGAACTGTGCTTACGATTTTTCGGTTTTTATAAGAAAATTGTTTGTTTTTTGTTGAATGACTTAGTTATTATGAAATATATACCAAATAAAAGATTTTTTATTTTTCTATCTAAATAAAATTTTTTATTTGATGGTAAAACTTAAATTTAGTTAATTTTGACAAATTAATAAAATTTCGTGTTTCAATTCCGTTTTCAAGCGCCCAGCATCAAAGCTATCTTGGCGTAGGTCACTTTTCTTCATATGCATGTATCTACATATATGTATATTTTTGTCCACCATGATATATTTAAACATGTTGATTGGTGTTTTAATATAACATTGTTAGATTCCTGATGATGACTTTAAACTAAATGATCGAAAATTAAATAAAAATTATTGTAAAATAATTCAAATTATATTTTCTTGATTTTTATTTTTAACAATAATAAAAAATCGACCAATTAGCTTGTGACAACGCTTTATTAAAAAATTGTTTCGTCATAAGATAATAAATATTATTAAAATATTTATATGTTAATAATTTTGTGACCAAATAATTTTAAAAAGTGTTTATTTTTTTATAGGCTAATTGGTCAAAACTTTTTTATTATTGTTGTTAAAAATAAAAACAAAAATTAAGAATTCACAATTTGTTTTTTCAATAATTTTTATTTTTCTTCGATATTTCGACTTTAGTCTAAAGTCATCATCAGGAAACTAAAACATTATATTCAAATACTAAACCACTTATAATACATAATACATCCTTTTGTCTACCATTATGTATTATAAGTGGTTTAGTATTTGAATATAATGTTTTAGTTTCCTGATGATGACTTTAGACTAAAGTCGAAATATCGAAGAAAAATAAAAATTATTGAAAAAACAAATTGTGAATTCTTAATTTTTGTTTTTATTTTTAACAACAATAATAAAAAAGTTTTGACCAATTAGCCTATAAAAAAATAAACACTTATTAAAATATTTATGGAAAATTCTAATATTTATAATTTCAGTCAAGCAAATCACAGGCGATTTAACAGCTGACCAGTATAGAGTATTGAAAGCTTATTAAAAGTAATTGTGTTTACATTACAAGTAGTTTAGTCGTTAAACCATCAAAGGTGGTTCCGCATTACATAGCATTTTCTAATAATGCAATTGATAATATATTATATACCTATGTATATGCAATATAGAATACATTACAGATAATGTACATAAAATGCTTTTCATTACTGTTGGTACTAAAGTGTAATAGAGCGATATCAACTTATTCGGAGTATTGCATGCAAAATCAATACATAAATGAAAGTTATTTTGATTTAATATATTTTATTAAATATAACATTTCTTTACAATTAAATTTGGTATAAGTCTGAAACAATATATGGAATTGAGTTTTATTTATCAATATAATAAAATACCTACATATGTAAAGTAATTTTAAACCAATAAAAGTTGGCTATTGCTTGCTACTGGTATGTTGTGAGTGGACCATCGCTAATAGAAACATCTATCCTAAATTTATAAAAAAAATGGATTTTTTGTTTACAAAAAACCATATCAGTTTAAACAAAAGTTGTTGGTGATATTTATTAGTTGCTTATGGATGCGCATTGCTTGGCACATTGCATATGATAAGAATCATAAGAATATTTGTACCTATATGCATGGGTATATCAAGTAAGAAAACGTAAGGAATTGTGTGACATTATATTGTATATCAAATGCTATTACAAACCCAAATGTGCAAAAACTGTTACGGAAGGGGTGAGCATTACTAATTAACGTATGCAAGCCTTATTGTTGCATTACCTTCTAAATTAAATACAAAATTTTCAATAATTGTGTTGGGTATGCGAAAATGCACTGCTTATAGAAATTATTGTAGACAATTTGAAGTATAGCTTCAAGAGACTTAAGTTTTGTGGGCAGTAGAGCAGTAGAGACTATATAGGAGAAGTCATCAAAAATATGTTCAAAATAGAAAGATATCAAATTATGATTTGAAAAGTTTAGTCAAACTAATTCTTTATTAGATTGCAAAACGTATATTATCAAAAGATAAAATGCACTAAATAATAATTTTAATATATTATTAGAAGATAATATGGTTTTTAAATAAATACAACAAAATCAAAGAATTTTTTTAAATAACTTAAAGTTAAAGTTAATATACTCTTGAGTCATTGTTTAACATGCTAGATTTTTTAAAGACAAAGGTATCTTTAACCATATCCCTGCTTTTCAGTTACATGTATATAGATTGTTTCCACATAGTAGATTCATTAATTCAGGACATATACCATATTAAATCTCTACAAATCTTACACATACACTAACTCTAAATATTTATACAAATTTGATTTTGAATAATTAATAATAAAATAATTATATGTGGGTAAATGGACTTGGTCATCTTTAACGCTATAATTTAGTATTATAAGTATTATTTTTTTCATATAAAAAAATATAGATATTTAATTTACAATAGTTAAATATATGTTAACGTAATAGAGGGTTTTAAATTTACTTACTTGTAAGGATCTTGTAATTCTCCAACAACAAAATTTAAATAATTCCAACCACCAAAAGCAAATAGTCCATTATAAAATGCATAACCTATAGCTTCAATGCTGTAATTCCCCTCCCACAAGTTATCAAAATTCTCCAATTTGCCAGTGCACATGTAGTAGATACCGGCCAGTATTATCATAACGAGTGCAAGTAATTTGCCAGCTGTGAAAACATCTTGAACCTTCATAGACCATTTTACGGAGAGGCAATTAACAGCAGTTAGTAAACCTAAAAATACGCAAAAACATTTATTATAAATATTTAGATAAATATACAAATGCGTCTGTCTAGATGTATAAATATCAGGAAAATTTTATTCTCACATAAACAAACTGCAGCTAAAATTTTAATGACTGATTCTGGTGGTGTGCAATCCTCAAAGAATGGTTTGGCAGCATATTCAGCAAAGGTTAAAGCGACAATTGTCTGTAATTAAAATAAATATAAAATAGTCTAAACATTTTCATATGAAAAGTGATAAATTTTTTTATAAGTAACTTGAACTACAATTTTATACAAAATATTTGTTTATTCACTATTTTACGTTTATGCTTATGTCAGATAAATGATAAATGCAGCCGCGAGTATTCGAATTACAGCACTTTTTGCGTATTTCACAGCAAAAACAGCTATATAAAATATAATTTTATGGATTTCTAATTTTAAGAAATTAACCACGAAAGGAAAATAAAAATATTTATGTTGTACGAGTTCATAGTACAATGTCTAATATTCAATTTTCATTAATAAAATGAAAATATAATCTTCATAGAAATCATCAAAACTATAAAGTAAGGAACCTCCTTGGTGTGAAGAAACTCACGCAGAGAAACTGCGCATTCCTCATAATCCTCACTGCAGAAGTTGTGGAAGCCCGCGGGAGAAAGAAACCATAAAAGAAGAAACCAAGAAATCATCAAAACTATAAAGTAAGGAACCTCCTTGGTGTGAAGAAACTCACGCAGAGAAACTGCGCATTCCTCATAATCCTCACTGCAGAAGTTGTGGAAGCCCGCGGGAGAAAGAAACCATAAAAGAAGAAACCAAGAAATCATCAAAACTATAAAGTAAGGAACGTTCTTGGTGTGAAGAAACTCACGCAGAGAAACTGCGCATTCCTCATAATCCTCACTGCAGAAGTTGTGGAAGCCCGCGGGAGAAAGAAACCATAAAAGAAGAAACCAAGAAATCATCAAAACTATAAAGTAAGGAACGTTCTTGGTGTGTAGGAACTAACGCAGAGATACTGCGCATTCCTCATAATCCTCACTGCAGAAATTGTGAAAGCCCGCGGGAGAAAGAAACCATAATACATTTTCTCGTGAGTACCCAGTTTTGGCGTCCAGAAGATATAGGTTCTTAGAAAGATACTTCTTTGATAGTTTATTAGACTGTTCAACGGTGAAGACGAAAGACCTATTAAATTACCTAAATTCGGCGGGATGGATTTAGTCTCTACTCTAAATGACCCACACATAATTGAGAAAAAATTGAGAGTGCTGATTTATTGATGATTTCATTCAATACCCCTTACACATGTAGTTTTATTACAAATCTTGTGGACACTGCGTGAGATGCAAATGCAAATGCGTCTAATATAACATTAGATAGTTATGATAAAGTATACGAATTTAAAGATAAGCATTATCCATTATGTTTCGATATACTATATCAAATCTCCTAATTGAAAGAGAAACAGATTTTCATAACACTTTTCGCATAGTTTAGTTCATTATTAGGATTGAAATATTCTATTGTTTTTGATGAAAAGATGATTAAAACAATTAATTTATAAATTATTTCTTGGTTCATTTTCTGACCCACAAAAACTGCAGCTGAGATATACGAATTTTCAACCTGTAAAATTTATTTGTCTCAAGCAAGTATTAATCCATCAATTTTTAATAACTGTCACTCCGCCACTGTCAATACTGTCGGAAATTTTGAATTGTAGAAAAAAGATCTAACAAGATCCCAAAATGATCTCCATCCTATGGTAGAATAGTGCAGAATATAAAATAGTTCAAATATAATAAAGCCGCAGTGTGAGACTCTGTAGTTGCAAAAAATGTTCTTGAATATATAGAAAACAACAGCCTTTGTTAGAGAAATGACTCCAAGAAATTCCTATTAAGATACCAAAAAAGGGGTAATTAATAGTTTGTGTAATAATCACTAGGGTTTAACATTTATATCGATTCGTTTAAGAGCACTCACGGAAGTTTTGCTGAACCAGACTGATTTTCACTCTAACCGCTCATGTAAAACCATACAGTAATAATATAAGTGAAAGGCCTTCATATGATTCGGTTAACTGCTGTTATAAATCATGCAGTAAATTATGCTCTGTTCATTTATATATCAGCTAGAGAAAAATAGTCATCATTTTTTTGCTTTTTTCAAATATATTTAAAGTTTGTTTTAAAAACGTTTACAAGCAAAATTTCATTCATCTACATTATATCAATCAATTTCGTAAAGCTGAGCTTAAACACAAGTATATATCTATGTCCAGGCTTGTCCACAACCAGGCTTAAGCTATTAGGCACCCCACTCTTTAACACACTCGGCAATATTTCTAACATTAGTATTGGACAGACACTTGCATTTGTTAATAAGTCCGGTTGGTTCAACTATGTCCATCCTTCTACCCACAATAACGTTGAATATGAAATTAAAACGGCTTTCTTAGCTTTTTTAGAGCAGGAGTCCGTTTTCCATCCACTTCACCATCCACTTTACAAATATATATAAATATATACTTTATGGAATTTTGGAACTCTCCACGCTATTACAAACATCTGTGAAGCTTAATACACATTTTTATTAAGATGCATTTGAGTATAAAAAGCGGGTAGCAAAATATTGTCAATGAAATTGGTTCAAGTTTAATTCAATCAAAATTATCTGATATTTAAAAATAAAAAAAAACTTTTTTGTTTTTGTATTTTCGATTTCATTATTGCTTATCAAATTTTTACAAATATATCTACACGAATACAACTCACTTAAGCACAACTTAATTGATTTAATGCGAATTGACGGATCGGTTGACTTTACGAAGAGAACACAATGTATGTTTTAATTAAAGTCTTTATAAGTTTTCAGTGGAAACCACAAATCAATTAAAAAAATCCTTAAAATAGAAAAGACAATAGCAAACCCGTTGGATAAAAATAAACATGAAGATTTTTTTTATTGAATCAGAATTCGCAGATAATTTCACCCAAAGTCAAGGCTAATGTTTTATGGTTTTAAATTCTTCGCCAAAAGTATTTTTTATTAGAATTTATTGAAAATTGATTAAAGATTGGAAAAATTCTTTCTATCTCATTTAATTATAATATGGTCCCTCTATTTATTAAAAATATAGAGTATATAAACTGAACTGAAGTTTTAGTCTTGAATAAAAGGTAATAAAAATATTAAAATATTAAATGAGTATTTTATTTCATATATGGTATATAATATATTAACATATTTATACCAATAAACTAAATTAATGAACAAATGTATTACTGTTATATTATTTGATGGTTTTACACCCAGTTAGAGTGGACATATGTGCTGATAATACTATTATTAAAGATTTTCAATGGAACAGAATACTATAACATTGCCGGATTTTTAGCATCATGGATTATTAGTTTCTAAGTCAACCGATCATATTCTGCTTTATTTATAAAGGCCACTATATAAAACTTTTGTTCCAACATCTTCATTCAGATAACCCTCTTCCAACACGTTTTCTCAAAACACGGTGTCACTAAACATGTACAAAACATTTGTGGATTTGCGAATCCTCTTAAAGTATATTATTGTTACCTCTTATAACACATGTAGTTTTTAATATAATAAGTACAATAACCTTACTTGATAGAATGTATTTGTATGCGAAACAATAATTAGTAGTAATCTCGGTTGAGGGCATGGTAAATGATAGGTCACATTTACAATCCGTCTCATGTGAGATGAAGTTCACTATAGGCTTTAAAAAATATAACCCATTGAAACTACTTTCGTCTTAATATAATGAGTAATATTAAGCATTTCCCACACCTATATTGGGGCTATTGAATATACCTTTTAGTTGGAAACATAGTTGCAACATACAAAGGACAGATATCTTCTGGCAAATGCCACATAATCACAATTCCGAGAGCAATCATTGGATCGAGTTTTTTATTTAGGCATAGCCTTATCCTGCACAGATATAAATAGGATAAGGCTGCATATATCCACGGAGGTTGATGTTATAAAGAGTTGTGTGCAATTTTATAGACAATTCATCCAACCTATAGTTATTAGAAACCCATTTCAGTTTTGTGAATATATCTACATCTCATTTAAATAGGTAAGACATAAGTTTAAATATTCCAGAAACTCCATTTAAGGTGTCAACTAAATTGAATTAAATATTTTAGACTCAATATAATAAATAAATAATAATAATCTTTTTTTTTCCTTTCAAATATAAAAACAAATCTGTTACGAAAATATTTTAGAAGCCGAAAGATGGAATGTTGCGTTTAAAATTTATATTTTAGAGATAACTAGTCTTGATGAATGAATATTACTTGCATCTTGTTTTTGTGCATTTAAAATTTCAATGATTAAAATCTTTTCTTCGAGTTGAATTTTATTTTACAACATGTATCTCGGTTAACCATTTCGATACAGGGCACGCGGTATATAGATAGCTGTATATTTGTATATATTTGTATATATTTACCTGTGTGGTTGGCCGAATGATAAGAAGTGCAATCCATAAACGCAAAAATCCGACTAATGGTCCAAATGCAACGAGTAAATAAGCATAATCACCACCCGATCGCGTGATACTGGTACCCAATTCTGCATAACAAAGAGCACCAATTGTCGAAAGTATACCACAAGCTGCCCAAATCAAAAGCGATGTACCAACTGATCTGTGTACGCAAAATGATAAAACAAAAAAAATATTACATATTTATATACATATATAAATATTAATCAAAATTAAACATACATACATAAGAGATACGAGTACGTGTGTCAATATTTAAAGTCATAAATGATTTGTTAGTCATTGCTGATATAGATATATATATACCTAAGTGGGTCCAGGCCCAAGTATTGCAAAATTAAATTCGACTACAAGTATGTATGTCTATGTATATTTACTGAAGCGTTTATGTTGATGATGATCATTATCACGTTGTAAGAAACTTCAAATTACAATATATCATTTTAGTAATTGCTAAGTAAGCAGTATCTCAATTAATTGAAGAATGAAGAAACGTGCATATATCGAAAGGCGTTCACAGAGTTGGGTAAGGCAAAATTACAAGTGTCGTTGACTTTGTTAAGAATTAAAAACGGAAAAACGAGAATTATTTTATAATTGATATTTGATATTTGATTTTTCATTTAATAATTTTTGCAGAAATTTATGTTATAAATGACAAGCACACGAAGGCATTGTGGCAATGCAACGGAGCTTCAGATATTTAATTGAATATTTGATACAGATATGCAATATGCCAATAATTAAATAAGTTTGTTTAGTGCGAGCAGAAAAAATATATGCAACTTTATTTTGCATGTATTATTATTGATTTAGAGATTACTTTAACCATAAATTTATTTAAGATTAGTTTGAATCTCTTTCAAAAATCTAACAAAGCATTTGCCATTTTCCATCAAAGTGCTTTTAAGTTTGACCAAACTCTTGGCTAAATTGCTCAATGAAAAGTTGAGCAAAAACTGGTAACAACTGTAAATATAACATATACTTACATGGTAGTGCACCATAAATAAAATAAAATTTTAAACAGAAAATAATAAAAACCTCAATTAAAATCAACTTTGCTTGCTTATACGAAAAAAGTTAAAATGTTATTGCTATAACATTACTAGAGACCCACAAAGCAACCTTTAACATCCATTGTATTGCCGTATAAAACTCTAAGGGTTTCAAACTTTCAATAATGATCTCAAACACGAGGTCCTGATTCTACGTTATGCATGCACCGGACAGTGACAAAATAGATATGAAACGCTGTCTTTAATTTCATCACAGCAGTTGTAAGAAATATTAAAGGGGACATTTGGTTTGCTAACCAAAAGTTAGCGGACAGCTTACCTCCTAAAGGGCTAATATCTTTACGGTACAATCATCATTTTCTTTTATTTAAGAGGAACCATTTTGCGTACAAATCTCTCTTTGTGTTATTAAATTATAATAATTTCTTTTCTCACATGTTTTGTTTTTGAAAGATAAAGTATCAAATGGAATATCATGGAATAACTTATTAATATATAAATAAGATTTATACCTTAATATAACTAACAACTAGTGCCATGCTCCAGAAGTTCAATTCGGTGAGAACGATTTTTTCAGAACCTTCTCATATGCACACACATACATTTACTAATATTCAAATTCACTAATGATACATATCTACTAAAGAAAGATCCAATAATTTTGGTTCATGCTCAATAGGACCAGGAAAGCGCAATTCTCTTGAATTTTATTACAATAATAGATTATAATACTATATCATAAGTTATAAATTATATAATACTATATTATATAATACTTCTATTATATAATAAAATGATATAATACTTCTGGCAGATTGACAAAGAAATGCTTTTGTGAAATTATAAACTTTTACAAGTATCTTGCAGTCCCGATTGCATTTGCAAATAAAAACTTTTATAGATCGGTATTTGTTAAAATTAAGCAAACGTTTAGAAAAAATCTGTATTATCGTTTTTATCAAAATGAAAATACATCTATATCCGTATCATTATCGCTTATTAAATTTTATCTCTGGGTGTGATTTATCTCGACTAGTATAACGAGGAGACAATTTCAACAAACATGAGCTTATATTTATTTATTTATTCAGGAGTTATAATAGATGAAAATCTAAAATATACTATTATTATAAAACCAAAGTAATATCACTACCGTAAATAAATTAGCAACACTGCAATTACAAAGCAGATTGTGTTGTTGTAATAATAGAATATTGGGATAAATACATTTAAATTAAAAACAAACAAAACTTCTGACAAAGCATAGTACTCTTTTTACAATTTTCAGAAGGACTAGTTACGGTATTTGTTTAGGAAGAGTAGGCTTTCCAATTGGAAGACATCAAACATAGTTTATGCACTTATGTGATTCAAGTTCTCAAAACAAAGAAATTAGACCTAGAAAGGAGAACCAGGAACTAGAATAATAAATAGTGCAGACATCAAGAAAATGCGGTGAAAAAATGGAGGTCTGGACCCAGACCGAAAATCAAAAGAACGCAGCTTAAAATGGCAACATAAAAGAGACCCTCCTCGAAGTGATTTTATAGACGGTTCCGAAAGCGGTTCCGAGAAGGAATAAGTGTCGCCGAAGAGGAAGTGTTTTAGTTCGTATACTACATATTAATGTTAGGGAGTCGGACAATGTTCGGTTTGGCGGTGCATAAAGCATAATTTAGGCAAATGATGAAAATATTTTTTATTCAATGAAAATTTTATAACAGTCATGTTTAAAAAGTATTTCGAACGATTTTCTACATTTTGGAAAATGACACTTTCACGATTTTTGCGAAAATTTAAAATTGTATCTCAAGATTAACATTCTTGATGTTTTCATCCAAGGCTACAACCGTTGTTAATTTAAGGGCATAGATCAAATAGCGCCACAAAAAGATCTTCTGGCTTTAAATCAATCATATGATTTAGTTTTGCTATATAACAAGTAGAAATGAATTCTTTATATAAAAATCAATTCAGAGCATTTTTAACAATTTTCGGAAAAATATTCTAAAATTTCTAAATTACCTTATTGTTTAACGCGTATTAGTGGTTAATTTTTAAATTTAAAATTAATTTTAATTGTAATATATTGAATAGTTTGCTTGTCTCGGATCTTCGCACTATAAGTTTACTATCATCGTAAATTCTTCTCTTCAATTAAAAATATGTTTTTAACAATATATATTATACCATATGTGTAGTATGAAAAGAGTATACTATGTTTGTTGAGATGTTTGTAATGCGTTAGAGATGATATTGAAGGTAATATAAAGTATTGGATATTTGAATGTCCCTTTGTCTTCCTGTTTTAATGCAAACCAGTCTTTATAACCCTCATTTCTCACCAATATCGTACTTCTAGGATTCTTTTTGAACTCGATTTTTAAGAATTCTTGACTCAACTGTCAAGTCTGTTTTTAAGAATTTAAAGCAACTTAATGAGTTCTACCTTGATTAGGTAAGAGAAAGCCTCTTATTTAAAAGATTATATGGCACTGAAACAGTTATTGTTTTCTCTTAAGCGCCTAATGATTAAACTCTTAAAATAATAAAATCATTTAACCGAATCGATATGAATTAACAAGAGTAAAAAGAATTTTTGTTGCTGTTTTTTTATTCTTTGAATATATCTGTTCTATCCATAATTATTTCATATTTACTTAGGTTTTGTAAAAAAGAATCGTTGCTATTGATATGACATTTCAGGTAACCACTAAGCTAAGGAATTGATGTGTTATATTTGACTACAAAGGTATGCCCTTCTCAAGAAGATATAAGAGACGTTATTGGTAGTTATATGACGGAAGATCTTGATCTACACTGTTGCAATAAGATAGTACAGTCTAGTGTACAGATTGTCTTCTGTATATGGATGGTGTAAACTTCCAGTCACATCCTTTGCAAATGCTAAGCTTTGTTCTAAATAATGAAATAGGCACTGAAAGAAGAGTTTTGTAATTCTGAAATATATTTGATTACAAACATATTTTTTAAGTCATACAATGAAACCATATCTACAACTGTATGCGTATCGCTGCAGAAGAGGTGATTGGCTATCACCATTCACAAAGAAACAGCTGGTACGACCAAGGGTGTCACGTTGCTAAAGAACGATATCGGCAAACGAGAAGAGCAGAGAAACGTCTTTTCAGTCGCAAAAAGAAAGAAATAAAGAGATGTGAGTACCTATTTGTCGACTTCAAACCCGTTTTTGACACTACGACTAGAAGCACTCTCTAAGTCGTTTTGTCTGAATTTGGTATCCCAGCAAAACTTATACGGCTATGTAAAATGACGTTGAGCAACACCATCAACTCCGTTAAAATCGGTAAGAACCTCTCCGAGCCATTTGATACCAAACGAGGTTTCAGCCAGGGTGACTCCTTGTCGTGTGATTAGTTTAGCCTAAACAATAATTCGAGCTCAAATCTCCTGAATGAAAGACTTTGTTAATTTGGGAACCAGCGTATATTGCTATAAGTAGGTAATCATGCTCTTATCATGCCTGTCCTGCTGTATGGTGCAGAAACTTGGACAATCACCAAAAGCGATGAGAAGGCGTTGGAAGTATTCGAGAGAAAGATCAATGGTCCCTTACGCATTGGAGACGAGTATCGACTTAGATGGAACAATGAGCTGCATGAACTACACCACGACATTGATGTAGTTAAGCGCATAAAAATTCAGTGATTTTGCTAGTTTGGTGTGAGGCTCTTCGACGCAACCAAAGACGACTCATCTCTATAATGACCAACTAATTAAGTAAGTAAGTATAATTTTGTAAATATTATTAACAATTATTATAATAAAATATAATAATAAATTAACATTTTTACAGCTTCTGAGTGTTTTGCTGCTGATCATTTTTGATGAACAATTGTTAGTGAACATACATATCCTTCTAAATTTAGGCACAACCAAGAAGTATAAAAGAAGTAATAAAAGTACGAAATGGGCAATACTCATATGACTATCTGCATAATATGCATTTTAATCATTACCCAAAAGAGTAAATTTGACTTTTTACAATATAATCGCAGCTTTATTTAATTTTTCTTCTTTCATCTTTTAGTTAGCCAATGATATAAAGGTTTCGAGAAAAATATCTAGATTTTTTTGTGTTCCAGGTTAGTTAGGTAGGTGACCATTTTTCTGTGTCATTAAAGAGGGTTAAGCGAGTGTTAGTTGTTTGTGGAGATGAGTCGCTGGAGAACGTATACTCGACCATTTCTGAAGTTAGATTCAGTCGATATTTTTTTTATGGTTTAATTCACTTTTGGTTAAAATTAAAATCGGACAAACAAAATCTGTTATTCAAATTCTCTACATCAATTATTGTTAGATAAAGGTCAACCATTTAATAGTTATGATATAAATAAAGATGAATATGAACTCTATACCATATATGGGATAGGTAGGTGACCATTTTTCTGTGTCATTAAAAGAGGGTTAGGCGAGTGTTAGTTATCTGTGGAAATGAGTCGCTGCGAGACATATACTTGACCACTCCTGATATTAGATTCGGTTGGTACTTTTCTTATAGTTTAATCACTTTAAGTTATAAAATTAAGATCGGACAAACAAAGTCTGTTATCCAAATTCTCTACATCAATAAATTTTAGACAAAGGTCTACCATTTAATAGTTATTATATGATTAATGTTTAATATGAACTCTATAACATACATATATGGGCATAACAAGTAATGAAGGCATAATGTCCTATACATAATGTTCTATATTCCGTACAAGTATTATTGATATGAAAGTAGTAGATTATTAAACAAGTCGTATTTGTTTTATATATGACTAAATTTATATGGAAAACCTCTGTAATTGTTACAAGTTTTCAAAATAAATTTCACTTGGTTCACAGGATTTCGTTTAAATTGTTTGCAATTATTAATCATAAACTATTGTTTATAAGAGACCACGCATTTGCTTAGAAATAAATAATAAGAAACAATTTGCGTACTTACTCTGCATATATAAGGACACCTGTTGGTGCTATAAATATACCGGAACCAATTATAGTACCAACAATGATAGCAACACCGTTTATGAGCGTTAATTTTCTCTTCAAGACAATTTTTTCGTCGATATCGTCTTCACTTTCAAGGCCAGCACCACCGGTTGATTTAACATTTTTTTTATCAGCAACACTTCGCGACAAGTCAACCAAACTAGTCGTTACACCATTACTATATTTTTCACCCATTTTTATCCAATTAGATTTTTTTTTAAATTTTTGTATTTTTGTATTTTGGTACTTTTGTATTTAAAAATTCGAAATTTTATGCAAAATGTTTTTATTTGAAATTTAAAATTTAAAATTAGTTGACGCGTTTATTTTAGGAAACCCACTATCTAACATGTAAGCTATTATTTCATTTATGTTCGTGTAATTAAACCGCGGCTATGTACTTTGGAAGGCAGCGCAGACGTCCGAACATTGACAGCAACACATTTCAACTAAAGCATTGGTTTCGCAGTCGAAGCGTTTGCACTTTTTGTGGTGTTGTCATTACTCATCTGCGAAAACAACGTGCACGCTTAGCGGTTGAAGAGCGCATGTGGCATAGCAGCAGTGGGGAGGTTTGCCATAGCTTCTCAGTGCAATCTGTAATTTAATGTTAACATGTTATGTATTGTATGTTTTTATGTTTATGTTTTTCTACATATGTACATATATATTTTATAGAAGTAAACGACATTTTGGCAGCTTAGTAGATTAACTACACGCGCACTATTTTTAATTGATACAATAAATCAATTAACAAGATTCCTAAATTTTCTTTAATTACTCTATTTTTCCAATGCACAAGATCAAATAACATTGGCAAGACATATTTGTAAAGCTACTACTTTAAATAAAATCAATTATGAATTACATTTTTGAAATTTCTATTGAAGCGGTTAAATATTACAAATTTTGGCACAACGGCTTTGTAGAGCTTACGTTGTATTATAACGTCATAATAAGGAAGGAATTGAACGTAAAAAGTTTAAAGCTCTTATGAAATATAACTGTCGATTAAGTTACGGCTTTCAATATTCGACACGCGGTTATTATATACATACAAAATAGAACCGTAATAAATTTTTAAACAATAGAATATAGAAACATATGTATGTACATACATATGTCATTTTACTCTATTATTTGAAAAGCAAAATTTTGCAAATGTATAAAAGCGAAAACGTCACTGTACGCATGCAAGCTTTTTGTTGGTGGTTGAAAATTTGGCCACGAAATCTTTTCAACTATTTCGTCATCCAAATTTTATCTATGCACATATTTGCATAATGCAATTTCCTCGAAAATGATATAACATATAGAATTTAAAATTATTTATAACTTCGTGCTTATAAAGTAATATATATAAACTAATACGAAACGAACATTCGAATTTCCTTCATAACGACATTTTGAACATATAAATTAGTTATATTTCCATCTTGTTCATATAGATTTGAAGTCGTTTAAACGTCAAATATAAGCCACGTTTAATTCATCAATTCTCATATACTCTAACTATATAGAGTATATACATATATATATTATATATGTATATATATCGAACTATATATAATTCATTATTATTGTTATTTTGCTGTTAACAATTCATTGTAATTCGTTCACCGGCAAATTGAACTTAAGCTAACAACAGCTGATTAAGATTTTGGCGGCCCATATTTACGTATTCGTTACGTTTTCAGCAAGTAATTAGGCTGCGATTACATTGCATGTGAACTTTGTCTTGTGTGTTCGTACGTACAAAACAAATGTATGTAATAGTACATTTCCACTGCTTATTTAGTAAGCTTAACTTACTAAGTAAATTTAATAGACCATTCAAAGAGCATCCGTGCTTTTTCACTTACTATAGAATATAGTAAACAAAATTCAACGAATATTATACCAAAAATAACGAATACAAAGTTGGAAATGGTCGAAATTTGACAAATTTGACACATGAAACAAAATATAAACATAAACAAATAATCAAAAAATCGAAACAAACATAAGGTTAGAATTCTTTTAAACATTTGTTGTCTCTTAAATAAAATATATAATTATTATACAGAAATAAGTATATATATTAAATATATATTTCATATCATTATAAAATATCATATATTATTTAACAAAAAATATTTATTTCAGGCTAATATCAAATGCAATTGCAAATGTGTTTGTTAAAATGTTATAATAAGATAAAACAAGACTAATAAAACATGGAATTTATAATTTGAACATGTTTAATGTTATATGTATGTAATAATTCTGTATTATGGTGATATTGTGAATCGCTCTATAAATATATAATAATCTCTAAAGCACTGAATAAACTCAGTTAATATTGCATATCTGTTAAAAATTTTTATGAAGAAGGGATTTAATGTTATTAATTTATTTTAAAAACACAGTAATGCACAAAAAAATATAGTCAAAATTCCGTAACAATATGTGTTATGATTATGTGACATTCTAATGGCGTTTTTGATTGGTAAATCTGAGGTAATTTTTTTAATCGAGTTTCACTTTTAATGCAATTTTCTTTTTCGATTGGTAAATCTGTATAACATCTTAACAATGTGCCTATGAGTTTCCATAATTATTGTTCCATTTACGCGAGACCATAAAGTTATTTTAAGGTTATTGAAATCAATTTTGAACTCTCATAAACATCTTTAAGATCAATTAAAATAACAAATTTAAAATTTTTTCAGAAACACCACATTTAAGCATTGACTGACAACAAATCTTTAATTTTTGTTAGAATTGAGATCAAGATTTATTTTAAAATGGATCTTACGGCTCGAGTAAACATAAGATGAAACGATTATTTACACAGCACAAGTAATCTTGTTCACACAGCAATTCTTAATTTTATTTCAATTTTGTTGCATATTGTTGGTTTTGAAATTGAGCTCTTAAAGTCCTAATGCCAAAAGTTGCAGCAATATTTTACTTTTTTTGCGTTTGTGAAAATTATTCATATTGCTAAATAACTATGCTCTCTTGAATTAAGAATTTAAATTCACCTTAATTTTGTACAAATTGCAATTTAATTGTAATTTCTGTTGTAGGACGGAATTGTAATTCTAACTTGATTTTATTACAAAATTAAGCCGAATAATCTGTACTATTCCACAAAACTGAGCACCCTAGTTGGTTCACCTTTCTCGTGGAGATAAAACTGTAATCGAATGGGTGATACTTAGTTGTCGTAAACAATCGCTCTTGTAGCCTTACTAATCGATTTCAAATTACAATAGGTTGGGCATTCGTTTTATACCTGCTGAAATAAACAAGTAAATTAATGGAAGTAAACTCTGTCAGCTGAAATAATAATACTAAAATATGCATACGAAAACAAACTGGGACTGTTAGAACCTTACAGATTTATTACTCCAACACGTAACAATTGGCTGCAGAGCCATCACTGTACAGGATTTAAGATATGCAATATTACTAATGTATTAGACTTTATTTAATTTCAAATATTATATATTTCAAAACATTTTACTTAAAAAATAGAAAAATATTACGGCACTAAATATCAAAATTTTGATTGATTTGCAAATATTTATTCAGGTCCATTTGATTTTAACGCAAGTAATCTCTTGCGTTCGTCGTTTCTGAACTGCTTGCGAACAGATTTGGAGGCTCCTTGCAGAGAACGCAAAACTGGTGTATTAGTTGCGTATTGTGCTGGGTTATAGGCCCGAACATCAACATCCCAATCTTCTCCATCAGGCAATGGCTTAAACTCTGGTGGAGGATGACTAATTGGTTCAGGCGCTTGAATACTTCTTTCAAAATTTTTTCTATCCACACATGTTTTCAAGTGATGCTAAATAAAAGTAACAAACATACATTTTTGTATATGCACGTCAACAACAAGCGTCAAATTTTTCACTTACTTCGAGCTCAGATTTGTTTATTATGTGCGTACTGTTAAAGGGACATGTCTCCTTCTTTTCACCCTTGTAGTGTTTTTTGCATTTGATGAGATGAGTTTGAAAACGACTTTCTAATATTCGGTGTGATGCGTCATAGGGACATTCTAACAATGTCGAATAATCTTCAACGGTATTTATTTTTGACATCTGCGTAATAATAACAGATAGTATTATTAATAATTAAAGATAGTGGCTTTGGTAGAATAGCACGGAGTTCATTAAATATATATACGAATATATTTTGCAAATTAAAGTAAATATATCAAATATTGCCCAGGAACTTTCTTTTAAGACGCAATTTGCACAACGATACCAAAAAAACCGCTTATCCAGTCGTAATAACAAAAACAAAATTTTAAGGTTGCCAAATTGTGCAATTTTAATCACTTCATAATCTTACAGCACGAGCAGGGATGGTATAAAGTATTTGGAACATAATTCCTTGAAAAATATTTATTTTATAGCTGTTTCACAAGCTATAAAATAAAAAATAAAATAAACATCCAGTGCCAAGCAAATAAACAATACAAAAATTTAAATTCAAACCAAAGCAGCTGATTTACACATCACACAAATTTTACTTGAAATAAAATGTGCGAGTAAAGTTTATGTAGCATTTTCAAATTTCGACAATGATGTTATGCTGAATAAGATGCTCTCATTAATTCGAAAATTTGGTAGTGGAACTCACTTGTGTATATACAGTGTTAATTAAAGTTACTACGAGTAGCTCGTGGAACAAATCTCATAGTTTGAAGCTTTATGAATATTAATGTATATTTATAAGATAATACCACATTACTTAAAAGAATTGTTGTGTGTTGTTGTTGTGGTTTGAGTTAGTGCCATTGCGCACTTTTACTCTTTTATGGCCCTGCCACATACAAAGCTTTACCTATACTAGAATTATTATCATGCATTTATCTTTTAACTGATAACGGACTGTAGATCACCATATCTTCCTATGCGTCCTGAGGTGGACTTAGGGTTTGTTAGGGTATTTCATATGTTTATACCAATTAAGCCGTTTGTCAAAAGTGACCCCCAGATGTTTTATGCTTTCCTCCCACCGTGTTTCCGTGCCACCGACGCTCACTCCTGCAGGATGCTGCCTTCTCTTTCGTGTTATGAATATAGCCTTGGTTTTGTCATTATTAATTTTAATCTTCCATTTCTGAAAGTATTTCACCATGAGGTCTATATTTCTCTGTAAGTTGCTTACATTTATGGCATAACGGTCAGAGTAGATCAAGTACGTGTCGTCTGCGTAAACCGCCATTGACACGAGACTTAAGGTGGGGATGTATATATATTAATGTCGCCGTATACATATTAAACAATGTGGGTGACAATGGCGACCCCTGAGGTACACCTGCTTCTATTGCACGCGCGGACGAAAGAGTGATGTTGATTTTAGTTCGGAAGGACTTTTCTTGCAGGAAGCTACCAATGATTTTAATCAGCCCGCTGGGGACCTCAATATGGGCCATTTTGACTACAAGGCCATCATGCCACACCTTGTGAAAGGCTTTAGCTATGTCGAATATTATCATTCCGGATGATTCTCGTTTACTTAGAGCGGTTTGTATCAGCTGCGCTGTATCAGATAGTGTTTTCTGTAATAATAAACAAGTAAAATGTATGGTTAATTAAATTATTGAGGCGTTAAATGTACTCAATGAGGTTATTGAACGGAACTGGTTTGTGTGGCAAATTAATTAGTTTGTATATACGACCAATTGTTTTGTGTAAAAGAAAATTAAGCATAATTAAATAGTAGACATAAAATTCATTCAGATTAGTGTATACATACATAAAAAAATTTGAACGAAAGTTTCGAACAGATTAAACTGTCAGAAAAAAAAGTAATTTTAAAAATGAAACATAGCTATATACATTGAACGTACCATAAAATTTTTTAGCTGTCAAAATACAACATAAACAATTTTTTTACTTATTGGCGATAGTGATTTGCAACTAAGCGGGCCGTTTATAGTTAAAGTAATTGTTTAAAAAGTTTAAAAAAAGAGAAATAATTGTTAATTTTATTTTGATAAAGTTTAAAATATGTCTTCGTCTAAAATTGGAGTTATAGATGAGTCGTATTTCTTTGGTTGGGATATGCTACTGAAATCAGTTGAAAAGGATGTTCTTAAAAAGGCTGATGTGATTTTAGCATTAGCCCACTTCATACTGGTTAGACATTATAAATTTGAATGTCTTGGCGTTGGTGAAGATGTAAGTACTTTTTTGTGACAATTACATATATTTCTTTATCGTGCTGTATGTATACTTGTATATATATGTATAAATTATATTAAGAACGAAAAAGAATGTATATGGAAAATTAATGCGTTGTTTTAGAAAACATATACTGAAGATGAAGTTGGGTCAGAATTGTTGCCAGAGTTTTGGAACGATAGCGATTTTCGTTACAGGTTGCGCTATGTTCACAATAAGCAGTTATATCTTCTAATTGGACATGTTGTATCTGGTGATAAGGTTCTATTTAATTTGCTAAGTGTTGATACAAAACAGGTGTCAAATATTTTGTTTGATCCGGAGGAACTGGTTAAATCGGTTAGAGGAAAAATTTATACAATGATACCAGATGCGGCTGCTGTTAGCGACCGTATTCGTAAAGAGTTGATTGAGACAGTTGTAAGTTGAAGTAAATTCCTACTTATATACATTTATTTAAAACATTTTGCTGATACAATTAGATGATATCACGTAATGAAATTGAGGCTTCCACTCAAACTGATCATGAAACTGTCCCACGCCAGTTTATAGATCCACTACGGATGTCAGATCCGCCTCGTTACAGGGGGTATGTACTATACTTCATGTATATATATTATGACATTTATTTTTAAATTAAAATTTACAGACAATATCCGGGTTCGCCATATAGAAATGAGTTTCCTGATGTCGGACGTGGAGATCTGGACCCGTTTGGTGTTGGTGGTGGGAATTTATATCCGTTTCCTCGTCCTGATCTATTAGGAAGCGCCCGACCACGTTTCGATCCATTTGGACCACCTGGTGGTAATGTTCGCTCAAACCCAAATCCTGATCATTTTCGCCCTCCAGGCAACGATGACTATTACATGTAATGTAATTAGTTTACTTAAAATTAACTATCAATATATTTTGATTCTTTTTTACAAATTCAATTTGTGAAAAATATATAATCAATGCATAAATATAAATATTTCAAATTCTATCGTAATTCAATCTGTTTCTTATATAAAACAAAAAACAAATGAACTCATAAAACTTGAAAAAAAACAACATCATAAAAACTACTTGTAACGAAAATTGTTTACAATTTACAATTTGGAGCTTCAAAACATACATTTTAAATAAAACATTGTGTTTGTAATGGAATATTTTGCAGATGGCTTAGTAAGAATAAGGTTAAGGATACATTTCACCAATTATGCAAAATAAATTTAAGTGAAAAATTAATAAAGTTTAAAACGAGTAAAATTCCAAAATTACAGCTGTTTTTTCTTTTAGCTCGAATAAGTGGTGAATACCACAATTGTTTTCCTTTTAATGTTTAGTATGTATATAAGTAAAAAGTATATTTAAGTATATTCATTTATTTAGAAAAAACCAATATAAAGAAATGTTAGCACTTCTTGTTATGCGCTAAAGATGTATGCTTGCAAAGACTCAAGTGTAGATTCTTTGTAGAATGGATGTAGACAGTTGTATTAGTTAATTCGTGAATGACCAGGTTGCTATAAATACTACGACAGAATGTGAAGAATTATCACTTGAAGCATAAGACTTAAGATGTGTGCGAAGTAATTGAATTATTCGTGTACAACGGCCAAGTAGTGCTTAATTGTTCGCAGAAGACAAGTATTCGGAGACAAAGTATAGACAACTGTCTCTGTTCACTTTGTTTTAGTGGGCTATAACAAAAACACGAACTGATCGAAGATAGTTTATACATATTTCTTTAAAATTGAAGCTTTTATTATTTTTTTATTAGTAATCACAATTCTGTTTGATTGTTATTCTTTCCTGCTCTTTTTATTTATTGGTAATACTGTGACACTGTATATTTAGAACCATCTTTAAAGTATAATGAAATCGTTGTATATGCAGTTCGAATATAATTAATCGCTTGGCTCAACTGACATCTTCACACAATATTATAATACGCTGTTTTTGTTGTAGCCCGCGGAGATCTGCTTGTGAAGCCCGTTTACGGGGTAGTGAACGGCACTTGGTTGTCGAAATTGAGGAGTGGCTTCTGGACGTAGACCCGACCGCTCTTAAGATCATCATTGTGCTCTGAATTTGGTTTCCCCTCGTCATGCACCCAAAACAGGTTACAGCAACCACAAGGACTTCGTCCTATTTTGTAATATACATACATATTTAAATGTAAGTATTGCGGTTCATAGTTGCATTTCTTATCATTTAGCGGCTTAGAAAGCAGCGGTACAATAGTGGTAGTATTTATTTCATTGTTTTTCAAACTAATTGAACTCTTGCAATTATTTTCAAGCTTCCTACCAAAAATGTAAATAAATATATATGAATGTAGATATATATATATATGTATATATATTTACATATTCTAAACCAATGGGACGGACAGACAAAGTAGTAAAATATATTGCATATGTATGTATGTACTTGTAAAACAGTATCATAAGAATTTTTTCTTTCATTACTGAGGATAATAAAAATTAATATCATTGGTATGACATACATATGTACATATGTATATGTATATGCATTGGATTGCGGTCTTACTTTATTAGCATATGTATGTCGTAATATTTGTAGGTAAACCAAAAAAGTGTTTTTATTTATACACACATATTAAATCGAAATTTTAGAATTTTATATTACTAATCTAATATATGTATAGGGGAGCGCTACTAGAATTACTAGCATATCTAGTTGTGTTTATTCGTTTATTCGTGTGTAAAAACTATGCAAAAACTAGAGGAAATGTATCTTCTAGGTTGCTTTTAGGTGGACATTCAAATATTACAAAAATTTGCTTGCAAAACTACATTTTTCTTTTGCTTTAATAGACTAGTTATAAAGTCACTATTCATCTAAGAGACTGTAAAAAACTAATCTTTTTTTAACAAAGCGAAAAGTGACACATTTTAAACTTTCATTCAAAGATTTAAATACCAATAATTTTTATTTGCTATACAATTTTTTATTTTTTCATAAATATTTTTATTTATAAAATATTTGGTTTGCCTTGGGTTTTGCGCACATTCGCAGGATTTATTAAATGCCGAAACATAATATTTGACAAATTACTAATTATTATCATGTGTATTTGCAAAATTTCCAGAAATAACAAGCAGACCGATGAATGTTAAAATAATTATATATTTTAACATTATTTTTGTATAAGAGCGGATTATTTTCTTGCTGATATCCATAAACATTTAATTGTGATTTGAATTGTTGAGATGTTAACTTTAAAGTATTAATATTAAAAATAAAAAAATAAAATTAGTGATTAATTTAATTAGTGAACAAAATGAAACGTAAATATATAATAAAAAACATATCCGCTACAAATAGAACTTATCTAAATAATAGATCTGTTCCACGAGCTGTTCCACGAGTAGTAACTTTGAGTAACACTGTGCATACACAAGTGCGTTCTACTAGCAAATTTTCGAGTAAATAAGAACATCTGAGCGAACGTAACATCCCTGTCGAAATTTGAAAATGCTGTATAGACTTTACTCATACATTTTCTTTAGTTTATATCAATTAACAATCCTGAGTTTCAAATGTCATTCTCATTGAATTGTCAAATTACAAGAGACCGCACGTGTTTAAGTGCAACGCATAGTAAATAATATCTGTTTTGTTTTTTGAGAAGTGGTGGAATAATTTCAGCAAAATGTCTGACAAGTAAGTTTGATTATTATTATAATTATAGTTAAATGATTTTATAAAATTTTGCATACAGATATGCGGTACCTAATAAATTACCTGGTAAAACAGTTTCGGTGTTGGCGCACCGTAAACGCCGTATATTGCAGGACAAGGCTACAATTGAGCAGAAGAAAAATGAGAAAACTAAACGCATTGCAAAACAGCGTTCACATCATAAATTTCGCCGTGCTGAATCATTTGTTATGGCTCACATCAAAGCGGAGCGAACTGGCCGACGTATAAAACAAATGATGCTACGTAAGAACATACTGGAGCTTAACCCTGAAGAAAAGGGCACAGAAAAATTGTTGTTAGTTATGCGACATGCTGGGTGAGTAATATTAAGATTTATTTTCATTTACAATAACATATTTGATGCTATTTATGATATTTGATGAAAATAATATGTTACTTATATGTTCTATTTTAGTAAGAAAATTTTTGATGAAACTACAAACAAAATCTTTAAGACTTTAAATATGCCAAAACGACACAATGCAATTTTTTTAAAAAATAATGCTGAAAGTCGTGTTTTGTTAAAAGTAATTGAACCTTTTGTTGTATATGGTTATCCTACACTTACCATCATACGAGAGTTACTATTCAAAAAAGGATTTGCCCGCGTTAATGGCAAAAAAACAGCAATACAATCTAACACAATGATCGAAGAGCAATTGGGAGAAAAGGGAATCGTGTGTTTGGAGGATATTATACATGAAATATATACAGTTGGTCCAAACTTTGAAGCGATAAAGCATTTCTTGTGCTCTTTTCTAGTAAGTTAATGGCAATCACTTAATTTATAAATATTTAATTATATTGTTTATAGCTATCTAATCCTCGAGATGGTTGGCAAAAGAAAGTATCAGTGTCTTTTAAACGTGGTGGAGAATATGGATGTCGTGATCATAATATTAATGAACTTATAGCTCGTTGCTTGTAAATGTATTTTTAAATACAGAATAAAAATTAAGTTAAAATGAAACTTGTTATAGTTAAGAAATTTATATATAAGTTTAAAGAAGAATGTAATTATGAAACGATATATAGTAACGTTTCACAGACGTTAAAGCTATATAAGTAAAATATAAAATATAAGTACAAGGCTTATATAGGAAGTATAATATAATAAATTGTATTTTTTTAAATATAACTAAATAGTTTTTTTTAAGTTGTAATTCTACATATTTTAATGAATATAGAATACAGAAAGGTAGTATATAATAATAGCTAAAATATTTAAGAGTGTTTTATTTAAATAATAACGTAATTGTTTAAAAACCTAATTGTATGTATTCAAGTTATAAAATAAGAATTTTTTAATTTTATAAAATATATTTAATAAGTATGATTTCTTTAGTGGTTGGACTGGATGAACGAGAACCGAATATATGTGCTTCATTTAAAATGGAAATGATAAAGTTTTTACAACTGATGAAGTTAATGTGAGTTTTTGGTTAAGCATGTCAAAAATACGTAACATGCAATCAAATCAAATTTAAGTAAAATTGTTTAAGCACTCTACAACCGGTGAATAGCTGAAAATAAAAATTAAGCTATGCATTTAGTTGAATACACGACCATTGAATTAATTGATGATTCCTTATGATTGTCTTTATTGTATAGATTCGTTCTGTTCTCTGAGTATGCTTGTTTTGGAGTATGCTATTTGGGTCAAACATATCGAATCGTTCGGGAATAATCGAACATTACATTGTGCTCAAGTGTTTGTTATTATATCGATTATAATAATAAAAGAAAACAAATAAAAGAAATATAGAATAAATTTGCTATTTGAGTAGCTCCCAGATTTTTGAACATTTAAGCTGTTAGATCTTAATGTTCGAATATATTAGAATTGTTGGAGCACCATCTTTAGAGAATTGTAAGGACCATCTCTTTAAAATGATCGTTTTTGTCGTTTCCCAATGTTGCAGTTTGAGGCTAGTTTAAGACGACATTTTTAAGGATATTTCTAAGCCAATAAAAATGAATACAATACAATTAAGTAAATTATTAATAGTATAATTTATTGACCATTTCTAGTCTATTCTTAAATATCAAGAGATAAATAAATCGTGTAAAAAAATGTCGAAAGTAAGCAGAAAATTTTTTTAAAACTTTTAAAAAGTTCTCTTTGTACATAGAAATTTTCTCTCACGTAATGATTATATTTTCATAATCTTTATTGATTATTAATATTTTTCTGGTTTATGCAATTGAAACAAAGATTAAAAACAAATTTTATTTTATTCAATTCTAAGAAATTCGACAGAATTTTTCTTCACTAAAGCTCTCTTAAAATCTGTTCAAAGATTGAGCAGCTTCATTTTCTGCCTAAACATTATAAATCGGTTTGTGCATCGACATGCTATCTCTGATAATACTACTGCAAAGCTTGCAAAGATATGCTTTCCAACTATAATCAGAGAACGAAAGTACTATAAAAAGAATAATTTCTTCTACTGCTTATAATTTATTCTTTTTAGCATATTTTAGCATATAGTATATATATGGCTATAGAGATAGCCATACATTAATGTCCAACGCCTTAGTTGTTTGTGTGGGCTTGAACAGTAGCTGTTCATGGCACTACGGCTATTGATGAATTATTGTATCCTATTCTACTCCTTACAAAACATATAGTATAAAATAAAAACACATTTATATTAAAAAAGAATGATACTATAAATAATGATAATATAACGAATGAAAGTATAAAATCGTAACCAAATGTATCGTGTTGGACATCTATATAAAAGTTATCTGTGGTATGATATTATCACAGAATTCATGAATGAAGTGATGAGGAATATAGTATTCACAGTCTAGTTTAATCAAACTATATTTTGTTCTTATGATGACTACTGTTTCATTAAAATCATTAAAACATATATAGTTTACAACTTGTCTGATAAATGAAGTGGTTTTTCAGCTAATAATTAATTGAAGCTAAAGATGAGAAAAAACAGTAAGAGTGATCTTGCTTAATAATCATCTATGCCTCTAGTACATAAGAAAATCCATGTAGTATACAAAGTATAACGTATTGCCTTCTTTCCAATTGATTAGCCCATTTTATTTTGTGATACCTTGCGGTTTTGGTAAATTTGTAGTTTGGCTATTAATCGTGGGAGTTGTCACTGATAAAGTATGACAAAACTTCAAATCAACAAAAGTTTATGTAAATAATTTACTTTGCAACCGCAAATGTTTGCGTGCTGAACAAAACTGATACATTCAGTATTCCCACCCCCTGACTGTTTAGCTTGTGACAGACAATCGGAATTATGCATAAAATAACAACAATTTTAATGTTGTGCTGTTCTAGAAATGAAACTATAAGAAATATAATTTGCAAATCAAGTACAACCCATAAAATTAGTATAATCACAGAGAACATAAATAAATATCATCCATTCCCTTAAAGCATATTAAGAAACGTAGACGATGTGTGCTTGTGAGGGAGGATACCCTACTTGTTGAATAGGATACCCACGAAATGTGGGTTAATTTCTTGTTGAAATATTTAAATATTTATTAATCTACACACAAAAGGACATCAACTTCTCATCAAGTCAACTATTTATTTCTTGAAGTAAAATAAAGTGTGCTGAATGATGCAGGGAGTTGATTGTTGTTACTGAAAGACTGTAGGATATTTTATTAGAATTTCAGTATAAAGGTGAGTTTAAAAATTTAACATAACAAATATTTATTTGAAAATAATTTTAAAAATATTTGTCAACAAATTTTATTTGAAAAAACGAAGGAAAATTCAATATGTGAAATAAAAAGTTTACGTGTGACAATATTTGGAAACTGCAGTTAAGCTGGCTAGTGCATATATAATATATACATGATATAATCAAAATAAATTGTGTCCTTTAATCCATCATCCATCAAGGCAAACATTATAATCCACTGTATCAATATATACAAAATACAAGCTGCCATATAAGAAGGTAAATATAAGTGATGAGTGATTGATGGTAAATTGTGGGTAATAGTAAACTATGTCGGTATGGCAGCGAATGTTGGTATTTTCTACAACTTCGAGTAGGGTAAATTATATACAAATCAGGTAAATTAGGTGTTACCATTGTGAAAACTTTATAAGATGTTTAATAAATAAATAAATAAACTTGAAAACTTTTAACCAAAAATAATAAATAAGTGCAATAAATAAATATTAACATAAGCGCAGTGCAAAAAACTCCTAGGAAATTTCAATTTACCTTACCTCAATTTACTTGAACTCGCACACGGCCTTAAGGGTAGAAAAAGTGAAATGCTGAGCTCCCGATTAAGTGCTATTTATAATGTCAATGTTCAAGAGAAAATATTAACCCATTAGTTTTTAATAGAGGATATGTTTTATATTGACCACTAAAGGCAGACAAAAAGAAAGATTAAAAATTATTTGGAAATAACAGAGTATGGTACAGCGCTTCTCCAGTTCTTCAAATTTTGGTTCAACTATGTCATGAGAGCCTGTGGCGAGATAATTACTAGCTAGAGTTTGGCAAGAGTTTTATGTTCGAATACAAATACTTATTATTTTCGGATTTCGTCTGCAAGCAAAAATTTTCGTCTTTGTGTTGCAGTGAAATAGTAAGAATATGTGTTAAAATCTCGCCAGTGTAAACACTAGGTTAAACTAGAAGTTAATGTAAATATAACTCGCTTATAGTAATGCTTGAAAGTGTTTGAACACAATGGTGTTCTAGAAGCTCTAGTATATTTGAAGATTTGATTCGAATGCTTGAAGTGCTGTAACTAGGTCAACTGATTATATGGCTATATGTTTTATTTCCATTTGTTTTATACCATATAAGTTCGCGAACAGTTTGCTTTACTCGTTCCACGTGCTCGAGCACGATCTTATGCTCAAATATTTATATGCCCGGAGCTTTGAACAGCTCAAAAAAAGTGTATGCGGTGCTAACAATAAAAACGTTTTTTATAGATTAAAGTTTTGGTAAATCTACTGCTTATGTCTTGTTTTGTGTTAATAGTTGTACAGGTCATTGGTCATAGTAGATAGTAATGGTAGTAGATATCTTAAATTCTAGATTGAATAGAATTTCACATTAAATGCTAGGTCTTAACAGTCCAGATATTAACGCTCCAGTGTGATACTGTCGTTTTTCGGGGGTATATTAGCTGTTGTATGGTGAATAGACAAGAAATAGACAATAATGCGGTTTAAAAAAATTCCTAATTTAAGATACATGCTTTAATTACTCGACAGATCTCGAGTTTTATTGTGTAAACAGTGGAGTATTCGAGCTTTACTCTTACTGCCATTTTTTCGTATATGTTCGCGATGTGTGCACATAAAACCACATGAACTTTTAACATATTCCAGAAATCTGCTGATATTCCACACTGATAGTATGAAGTGGTTTTTTGCAAATTGCCAAAATACCAGGTCTGTATTAGAATTATTTCTACATGCTTATTTTATAGGTAATCAAGTTTGTTAAATATTTTGTTAAATATACATCTATAGTATTGAAGTCTTAGACTGCGAAGGTATTCTTTTGTAAAAGGAGTTCGATACTATAACACATTGGATAAAGCCACCACTTTTCGCAGTTGAGATGATTTACATTTATGATACTGGCTTAAAGTAATGCAGTTTGAAAATCCAGCAGGATATCCTTTTTTTATAGTTTCCTAATTGCTTGTTGTATACCACGTACTTTAGGGTTATGGTTCCAATATCCAATGACTGGGTGATGGTGATACTGATTGATTACTTGATTGAGTTAGCAGAGAGGAAGTTTCAGTGAAATTTTTTAACTTCATTGTGCCTCTTCACAGTATATCTCTTTTTTGCTTTTCCGCGATGCAGCATTAAACAAAAACGTGTAGAGTTTAGTACATTTAATTTTTTATTTAAGGAGTCGTAAGCTGAAATTAATTTTATTTTAATATCCATGAAAACTATTTACATCTACTGGAAAGAGAAGGAGCCGAAATCTATATGATACGAAAAACATTCAATAAACACAAACATATTTAATTAATACTTTTTAATTATATTTTTTCTTTTGCTTTGTAGTAATTCGGCGTTGCAAATTTATGGATGACGAAAATTCTTTTCAACAAAATGCCATTAAAAACATATTTGCTTCATCATTGAGTGATCCCATTTTGGGTAAACATTTCAAACTACCAGGTGGCGATTGGGCACCAGAACAACGTATTAAATTGGATACTTCATTGTCCTATATACCAGTGTACACACATTTGAAACTACATCCAATAGAGGATATTAAACCAGTGTCAGCCCCACAGCTTATAAAACGTATTGCCCATGAAAACTATGAAGATTTACCAGAATCTGCTATTTCGAATGAAATTGAAATTGATGAACTTCCTCCTATACCAGCAGTTATCTGGAATCCGCCAGAGTCATATTCTGTTGAACATGATAGCGCAGACAGTCAATCATACTGCATGTACAACTGGTTTCCAAAAGATTGGAATTCGAAAAGTTTAGACAAAACAAAAAGATCTAATGAATAAATTTCTGAGCATATATTTTAGATATGAATCTCGCTAAGTTTTCTATTTATTTTTATAATACATAAAAGTAGCCATGAAATACAAAAACTAAAAAATAAAGATTTTAAATTTCAACTATAATTTATTTAAACAAACATAAAAAATAAACACATTTTTTTTAAATTTATATTATTAACAAATATGTATATATAAAGTTTAACCACAGTTTTGAATTTTCCTGATTTATATGTATATGTATATGTAAAGATGTGGGTCCCATTACCTTTAATTCTTCAACGTTGAAGTAACTTACAGGCGTCGTACATTTGTGCGCATATGTGAGTGTATGTGGTCTCGTGTCGGGAAAGACACTCGAACGCTTTAGTCACTAACTTGGTTAAGGCAACCAATTCAATTTCTTCTGATTCAGAGGCAGTTATCTGTGTGAATTTCGTAGGATTTTCTCTCTGTACAAATAAAAGATAACATACTGTTATATAAAATTTGATTTTAAAAGTCAATAATGATGAAAGAATCTATTTGCTTAATAACTGGTTTATGATTTATGAATTTTAACAACTAAATTAGAGAACCAATTCAATCCAAATTCAATGTAAATAGTACGTAACCTTTTAATTCTGTAGTGCATTTCGTGATATTCAGTACGCATAAAAGTGAACGAATTTGGAGAAGAAGTAAAAGCATAGCAACATAAAAAATCAAAAAATACATAAACGATAGAGTCCTGAAATTTTTTACAAAAACTGGCAGACTTAACAACACCGCGTTATCGAATCTCAGATTGGTTACAGGTTCCTTGGGGAGGTATGCAGATCTGAGGTCAGTTATTGCTTAGTACGATGAATTGATAAACAATAATCCCGTCAAGGCGTGGAGAGTGGTTATGAAGAAACCTCGCAGTTAATAGAGATTAAAAGTGCTCAAGTCCACTGACTCAACATAATAAAAAATTCTGACTTTTGCACGAAGAAGAGTTTGGAGCTCTGTGTGTGTGTAATTTCTGCTTGAATTTTTATGAATTTTACCTTTCTTAGCATAAAAAACTTAAAAACTGATTCTGCACTGCTAATATGTTATGTTTAAGGTAATTGAAAAGAAACCCAACTTAATCAATTAAAAATTATACATACAATATGTAAAATTTTGGTCTTAAAGTAGAAGTTTTTAAGATAGTGAGTCGAATACATTAATAGCACTTACGAGATCATCCAGAAAATATAACAACTGTTGTCCGATTGAAGCAATCTTCAAATAAGCTTGTTGAGATGAGTTCGAGTACAAGTTTAATCTTCTCCCTGCAATTTCAAGCAATAAAGTTCCAAGTTTCTCGTCTATGCAAGTTTCAGAAAGCAGACTTTCAGCAAACGCATCATAGCTATGTGCATACAATTCAACAATCTTAAGGGAAATTTGCTTTTTTAATTTAGAATTTATTAAATAAATTATTTTTATTCACCTGTCTTTTGATCAAACCCGTTTTATCCATTTTCCAGCTGTGTGCAAGAGCTACGATTTTTTTCATGTATTCCATGTGTTCCAACAGAAACAGTTGTTCGAGATCTTCTCGTATCAAATCCATTGACGCTGTTATAACATTGCATAGAAAGTCCTCACGTTGTTGTTGTAGTACAATATCAGGTTCGGGTAGTGTGAATGGTAGTTCCTTGTTGATGTCAGCAAAAAATGCTTTATTGCTCAAGGAGTCAAACAACGTCGTTATCGGTTTGTTCACTTTCAGTTGAAAGAATGTGATAAAGTGTAAAACCATGCAAAGCTCGTAATGCAATCGTAATAGCTCTTTAATTGCATTGTGTTGTTGTAGCGCTATAAGTTGCAGAGGTATTTGTCCTTCGGCTAAGTTTTCTTCAAATTTCAACTCACGCCCTTTATGATCTAAAGATGTCGAGAAATGCCCTAAGAACTCTAATGAAAGTTCCAGAAAATCAGGTATCACTGAAGCAGATATTTCAATGTCTTGCTGACACATTTTATTTTTAGGTAAGCGGCCGACTTTATGCACAAGTGTCATTGTCGATTTAAGTGGATATTTTAATGTGGCATTCCATAACGTGCAGCACATTCCATGCTTCAGCGCAAAGTCTTCTGTTTTAAATTGAGCTAAGCACGTTAAAGCTGCTCGAAAATATTCAATGCTTTGCAAGTTTTTGCTCCAATGTACCATATACTGAAAAGACATTAGACTCAGTAGAACTCCCGATTCCAAACTAAAGGGAAAATGACGGCGCAATAGTTTAAGCTTATCAAGTACAACATCAAAATCTGTATTAGCATTTGACTTATTCAAAACGTTTGTGATTGGCTCTTCAGTTTCTGTTGTGTTGTTTGTTTCTTTTTCTTCGACAGCTTTGTTGGTTTCTGTGGAAATTATTTCTTGTTCCACAATTTTGGATGGATGTATTCTTGAGTTAATAAGCCATTGAGCAGCTAAATCCGTTACTATTCCTTTACCACCACTAACTATGAACTTTAGGCTGCAATCTGGGCGTACATAAGGTAATTGTGGCATTACAGGTTCTGTACTTATTATAGGATATCTGAAAAGAGTAGGAGAGATTTTTTTTCAGTCTATGTTGATGGTAAAATTAAATATTACTTACTCTAAAATTGCACCTAATACGGCTACATCTTCTAGTTTCGCAATGAGTAAACTCCATTGTGCTTCGTCATGTGAGATTTGTTCCCAGCATTCATTTTCTTCGTTTTCATCGAACGACCCCTGGAATTCAAAAATTCACACCCAATTTGAAGAATACAATCAACAATCTATAATTTTTTATTTACTTCTCTACAATTTCGCCTTAGAATATTAGCGACTGTCTTACAAACAATAGCAACCATAATTCCAAGCGATTTAGGGCTTTCCAACAACATTTCTCTGACTTCTTGCCACCATGGAGAAATTGCATTATAAGCATGTTTGTTAACTCTATCCCCAGCCATTTCGCATATAGCACGCACCATTGCAGCTAAACGTGACATATCGGCAATCACCTCATCACTGTAAATGTTCATTATAATGTAATATACTTATGTATTATTATGATGTGAATTTATATTACCAATTCTGATAATGAAATGGTTTCTCTATCCAGAAATATAGCGATAGCACTAACATATCTTCATATGGTATTTGTACCTTTTCTAATTCTGTCTTGAATTGATTGAAGCATAAGCCGGTATCAAAGAATTTTCCGAACAGATTTCCGCTTACGTCACCGAAAAGTTGAGACTTATCACGTATTAATGGAATACTTTCCGAGTAATCTAACTGAAAAATACTAAGATAATCAACAAAATCGCCATCTTCTTGGTGAACTTCTTGAAAAGTAACTTTCCCAGTAACGGTGACTTGCTCGTCTGTTTGAGGTAAAAAATTGGTACCTCTATTGCCCAATAACAATACCAACTGGTTTATAGTAACCAAGTCTGAGTCATTTAGTTCTATCTCCTCATCAAATTCTTCGGTTTTAGGCGATTTCATGGCCAAATAAAAATCCACTAATCGTTTGTAATTCTCTAAGACAATCTGAAAATTCATTATTTCGGCTGACGAATGGCTCATTTTAGATATAGCAGTAGCGAATGCGACAATAACAGCTTGAAAAATTTCAGGTTTAAGTTGTTTATTTTTCTTTAAAATTTCGAGGCACTGCTGTTGTACTTCGATCGTTTGAAACTCTTCAGCTAGACTGAATATATCATCCTTCAGTTGCAGTGTGCTGATATTAGCATTTCGTAGTAAATTTTTAAAACGTTTTAGCAAATGTATATCTCGAGCAGTTTGTGAATTGGTTTCACTCAGCGCATAATGAAATGGTATTTGTATTTCTTTGACACTGCCGTCACTTGGATCAATAAACAGGCAGTAGATTAAGGGAGCGCGCACTTTTGCACCCAATGGCATACCTTTAGATAAAACATGAAAATAATGTGTACAATGTTATAATAAAGAGACCGTGTATTACCTAAGAGACCGTGTGTGTTATATGCCAATTGACCACTTTTACTAACCGTAAATGCAGCAATTTTGGGACCGTTTTGTAGCGCCCAAATTTCCAAACAACCTAAACGTGGTGCATAAATAATTAGAAATAATGCTTTTCTTTTGCGACTTTGTATTCCTTTCAGCGTTTTTTCTTTAACTGGCATAAATGCGCATTGTGCATCTCGGTAGCCCTTCCAAACACGTAATATAACGGACTTTTGAGTATCTACAAGCATAACGCGGTCCAAATTATCTGTGACAGCAGCTAGCTTACCATTCGGCGCAATTACTATACTAAACCCATCGCGTTTCCCATCAAATAGCTTTGAGCGAACACGCATTTGCGATTCTTTGCTTGGTGATGGTATTTCTTCAACTGGTTTTGCAGGCGCGCGACCGAAAATATTTCCAAGTATGTTTTTGTATGCCGAACCAATAACATCCTTTGCAACTTCACCCAAAGATATTGTCTTGTAACCTTCTTCTGCATAGTAAAATCCTAAATACGGTTCTGCGCCGACACCAATAACCAATGAATTCTGTACTGGCGTTTCGCATAACCGTGTATAGTAGCCAGTAGCTAGACATTGCTCTACAAAAAAATCGAATGTGTTTTGTCTTTGTGGGCATACAATTACCGCATCATTTACGATCGTTCCCCGATCATGCATATATTTGAATTTTTGATATTGCAGTATATAAGTTGGTGTTTCAGGCGAAGGTTTGGAATTCCGACCTAAAGAGTAGTTTGTGTTATTGCGCATTGTGTTAAGTAAAGAATATAGCTCCGATCCTTTAATAATACAAATACATTGCTCGTAAGCAATATACACTGTTGAATCAGCTTCAGAGTGTTTAGGCGCAGAATATGACTTAGCAGAAAGTACTGGTTCATCATGAAAACTACAAATTAACCAAATATATTATTAGTATATTCAATATTCCGACTTTTTTTTAATTCTTACTTTTGGGAGTAAATTTTAATGCCAGCATCTGTATAAAATAACAGCATACCAGAGTCCAAGCCGACGACTACACACGTCCACTCTGGTCCAACACTTACATTTTTGCCATAAATAGGTAAGCAAAGAAAACACGTTACAATTTGATTTGGATCGTCTAATTCACCACACCAAGTTAAGGCATAAGTTGTGGCTTGATTTTTGTTATCCCAACATGAAGACAAAAATGCTAACTTTTCTCCTTGACCAAATGCAATTAGTTCACCAGTTGGCGACACAGCAAAATTAATCGCATTCATCCAATTTTCATCTGAAATATAATGATTTTATGTTTATATATAAAAATCTCTTTGCAATTTATTTATATTTTATACCATGAGAAAGTCCAAAGTATTCTTGTACCTTATTGAAATCTTTAATATTGCCAAAAGTTTTAACTTCACAAGACATTGTTTTGCATATTTGTTTACAATTTTATTGTCGCAATCACCAACAGTGGGGATGTGTCATTATTGTATGATTTCAGCTGTTTTTATCGGAGCTAGCAGCGCCCACTCGCGCAAAATTTGCTTATTTGCTGTCATGTCAAATTGTGATTTGTGAAATGTCATATTAGTCACAGCGGGTTTCCACAATTTTTAAATCTTTGCGTTTTCGAAACTGAAAGCTTCATATATAAATTATTACACTTACTTAAAATAGTAATATATACTTTTATATTATTGTTTTATAATTTTAGTAGAAATAATAATTATTTTATTATTTTATTTCATATATATACATATATTAAAAGTGTGCAACTGAATATTATATAAAATTAATCTCTTGATCAAGGACCGTAAAAGTGATTATTTAAAAAAATATTAATTAATAACTTTTATTATTTGTACTTTAAAATACAAGTCAAAAATAATAATTAAATTTGTTTTATACTATGTTTTTTAATACTAGTTATTAATATGTAGCTTTTAATTTTTCTACATACTCCTTAAACAGCAGAATATATAAAATAGTTTATATATATGAAATATTAATATATATATATATAAATACATATGTATTTATAAATATAAATGATAAAATATTAAAACAACTATTTATTACTTTACTTTATGTGAGAAGTGCTTCTCTTTTATTCAGCATGGCCTGGATAGTGATACTTAAGACATCGATGTGGTATTGTAAACAAATAAATGGATGAGGAGCATGCAGATATGTTGGCAACTGCGTATAATATTCGACTGATATTGTATAAAATATGAAACCGTGCTATGTTCATGGAGGTGAGCTCGTGATTCTTAGAAATTATAGATGACATATTTAAATTAAATTAAATCAAACTTAATTTCCTTTGTTTTTTATAAATAAACTATTTAAAATAATTCCATTTTTGTGTTAGTGCGGTAATACTATAAGCACGGCATATATTACTTATCGGATAAATAGAATACTTCTCTTCAAATTCAAAACTTACAACTGTGTTAAATTTTACCTGAAGTATATTAATAATTTTTGTAACTTGAAAGCATACAAGAGTTAAGTTGTAGCACTATATTTACAGAATTTATTTGTCTAATTGATATAAATATAAAATGAATATTATCATTACGTATGAACTTCAGTTTCATTACAATTTTAATATACATACGTTTAGCATAGGTTTGCAGTAATACAAAACATTCCACCTTTTTGATCATATATACATTTGTGATATTTCGATTAACGAATGTATTTAACAATTGTACAATTGTATAAATATTTAAGTGTTAATTTATTAATTCATATTTGTAAAGATTTTCTTTGAGTTTACAATCCAGAGATAGTACACAATTTTATTATTAAATTAAGATGTGGAAGATGCTTTTTTTTGCATTCTGATTCGATGCATTGATTTCACACATCGAAAAAGTCTTATAAATCGTCGATCGGGATGTCCTTCAGAATTGCGTTACAGGGATTTTGACAGAAAATACTTACCTTTCATTTACAAATGCACTATTTTAAAGGTAAAAATTACATGATTACAAATTAGGTATATACCTACTAGGGGTAGTTAACCTTCCCATTTTATGTAATTGCCAATAGATGGTTCAATTACACATACCTGTTTTAAAATATTCGTGATTACCACCATATAGCAACTTTTTTTCAATAGTAATAATGGGCTATAGAGTTTCTTTTGAAATCAAAATGATTGAGTTTACTTTTAAAACACAATAATACTTTATTAATAGATAAAATATATTTGCATAACTTCATTGTGCTTAATGTAAATATTATCGAGCATTTTTAAAAATAAGCCTTTTCTATAACATATAAGTCCACGTTAATATAATAAAATATTAAACCGCTATTAATATTTAATAAAAAAATACCAAAAAAAATAATTAAAAGAAACTAATTCAATAATTTTCTATAAATCCGACTCAACGCCGCTGTCAATGAAGTCCTTCAGCATTATTCCACAATTGCTTGGAAGCAAGCGGCTCCAATTATTAATATGCAGTAAACTTAGAACAGAAAAATTGAATAATTTAATTGAATAAATATGTATTCTTATATTCGCTATGTCACCTCGTCGGAATTGTGGTTTCCAAGACATTCATTCTATGTGCGTCAATAATATGTTTAGCTACTTCTTTCGGATCCAATAAACCCAGCACTGATGGAAACTTGACTTTTGGCCTCTTACAGAGACCGGTATTTGTCATATATGGGTAAATCGTTGTAGTTTTAATCTGTAATGATAAAACATAGTGTAAGCAATTCAAAAATAAATCGATTTCCATTGGTGTTTTATCAAATTACAAGATTCTTATACGGTCCGTCGCGAAGTTCTTCATGTAGTGCTTCCATCATGCCACGCACAGCAAATTTTGTTGCACAATATGGTACTAAATTAGCTAACCCAACTACACCTGCAATTGATGACATGCAAATAATATGACCACGGCTTTCTTCTTTCATTTGGGGTAAAAATGCCTCCAGTGTCCAAAATTGTGAAAACACATTAATATCGAAGACGCGTCGTATTTCCTCTGGTGTATGCTTATCTAACGGATGTGTGGGCATTATGCCTACATTATTAACTAGTACGGTTATAGGACCAATATCGGTCTTTACTTTATTGGCAAGTGCCAGCACATCGTCTCGATTTGAAACATCACAGCTGTTTAAAATATTTTTATTAGTTTTCGTATAAGTAATAAAATAAAAATAGCTGCAAAGATTTCGAAACTCACGTATAACTATGCACCGCACCTTTGGAGAGCCGTTTTGCTTTATTAACAGTCTCCTCATTGTTTTTCTGATTTATATCGACACAGATAACTGTGCTGCCAAAAGCAGTATAATGTAATGCTAGTTCACGCCCAATTCCATGCCCCGTACCTGTAATCTAAAAATGAGAAGAAATAAATCTTTACATGTCTATAATAACACTTTTATTGGGATAGGAATTTAACTTACCAAAACCACTTCATTGCATATATCCTTAAAATTTTTTGGAAATATTTTATCCACGGCAGAATAAATAAGTTCCATTAGAATTTTGATAAAGAGCAGTAAAAACTCGGCCAGATCTTGAACTATATTGAATATACGTTTAGATACATTGCTGGTACTAAAAAATAATGAGAAATGTTCGTTATTTTTAATTTGAAATAATTTAATCGAATTGAATAATATTTGAAGTATTTATTATGTTTTGATAAAAGAAAACTTCTTAATAAAAGCGTTGGATAAAAATTTGCATGTAGTCAGACAGTTTTGTCAGCAAGTCGATATGTGACATTATCTTGTTGAAATGAAAACTTTCCAAGCCATGTTTACGTACTTTATTATTGAACAATATTGAACATGATGGGTTTTATAACTAAAGTAGTATTACAGGAGACGATAGCTGCAGATTTTGTTGCGAAGAAGAGGAAACAGCAGAATACATTCTGTGTCACTGTGATAGTTTCGCCAGATTTAGTTTTTGCTACTTTTCAACTGCCTATCCACTTGTAACGGAACTAGGCAACATTTCTCCAAAGGACATAATGACGTTCTTATCTGCTACTCATCTATGGAACTAAAGTGGGTGTGTCCAACAATTCTCAAAGGATGCAGTGACGTGGTGACAAGTTCCCAATCCGTTTAAAATATATATATCTATCTATAACTAAAGTTTACTGATATTGTAATAAAAAAAATTCTTTTTTGAAGGAAGCAAGTTATATATTCTTTTGGGTGTCTACAGCTAATTTGGATCACCATTGGATTGCCTTGCCCAAATGCAATTATTTGAAATTTTAACAAAAAGTGAATCCATCCTTAATAATTTTGTGGTCAAAATTTTGTGGAAGCGTTCGAATACTTTATGGGCCTGTGTACTGAAGTTACAACGCGAACGATGATCGTGTGAATTCATATCACGATTGAATGAATCAATTTGCATTATAGAATATGATATATATGGAAATAATTTTTAACTAGCTGCAATAAAGCATATAACATAATGCTTGAAATGATTGTGGGAATTGGTTTATTTTTATCAAATATATATACTGATTTTCATGAATCAGTATCTATGTCGAATCTAAAGCAACTTGTGGCCATAAAGAATATTCTATATTCATTTGTGGATAGAATTAGTTAAATTAAAGTTACCGAAGAAAGGCGAAAAGATAAATAGGGCTCTAAAAGTATCGATGATTTTACCCAATAAATATTGTGGTGGAAAGCACAAGGTTCTCGGCATCCTGGTAGCTCACGGTAAATCGCCATGATTTGGACGTGAACAATAGAACGCGAGTGAAGATACTATATCCACAAATCATAACATACTCCTATAACAGAGTCAAAGTTATAATACAGATAGCCTCTGTTTCATCCTGGAGGCCAGAAACACATCATCATCAACAATAGAGTATATTTGTAGTTACGAATAGAAAAAGAAATGAAAATTTTCTATAGTATATTTATAAGTCTATATAAATGCGTGTGTATTTTAAGCCGTTAAATATATATTTATATGCACATGCATTAGAAATATACTCTTTTGCCAATTTATAGACATATTCGGAGAATTTCAACTCACACATTTCAAATGATTCGTATCTGCACATTATCTTAGAATCAATTTGAATTCAACTGGTATGAGGTGAGTCGAGTTGGAATCGCACTGAGTGCAATTCGGTTGTTTTTATGGCGGATTTTATCTATGCAATTTAATTGAAGGTCACCTTAAAGTTCTCTGAACTGATTACAAATTAACAATAAACAGATTTTGTTCATATAATTAAGTCAATCAATATTTTGGACAGGTTCTGTTGTACATTTTATTGGTTGTAATTGATGTTTTCAAAGAGATACCCTTGTACAAATAGACTTTTGTGTGAGTGTGCGATTTGAGAAAATACGAGTATCTCAGTACCTTTAAAAAATTTATTAGCAAATGAAAAAAATTTGATCATTTATTAATTACTTGATTAAATAATAAGATTTTAGAATAATTAAGAAATATACAAGATTATTATATACATAAATTATGAATGGAACTTAGACAATTAGACAAAAAAATACGTTAAAGTAAGTTTTTTAATTTTTCTTTACTGTTTTTCCTTCAGTTCAATATACATACTTTTTATTATTTATATTTTTAATACTTTTCAAACAATTACTTTTAACTATTATTGTTATTATTATTTAGTCAAGTTAATTAAGTTGAACGATTTAGCACATCGAGTTAGATATATATTGTGCTCCCTTCATGGATTCAGAGTATTTCTCTAAGTGAGATTTTTTCGATAAATAGTGGTACTGAACCTACTCTGTCAAGTCTTGTTTTTTCATTCTGTATAAGATATCCTCTTATATATTTCTTCCGTTTATGTACCAATACCCTGCAAATTTCCAGCATGTGCTTTGAGGTGTCATTGTTGTCTTTCGCATAAAAGCTACAAAGAGCAAGTTCTCAGTTTTGCAAAGTCATAATTTAAGATCCTTCAGTACCTGTTAGATTTTCGATAACGGTTTCTTTAAATCTGAGCATGGGAAATTGTCGCACTGAATTTGATCTGGGAATTAAGCTTGATGTGGAAGCAATTTCTATAGAAATTAATATATCTTTGCAGTGGTAATTGCGCTCATGTATGGTATTTTCTTGATAGCAAATCATTCTTTTCTTTTCCGATCAAACAGAGAGATGTTTTCTCTTTGAAATATTATTGGAAATGATTTAATAAAGCTGTGTAGTAATTATCATTGACTGTTTGTCTTGAGATTAATTATACCGCGTGCGTATCATTTCAATTATTCGAAAATAAATACATTGTGTGTACTATTAACATATATGTTCTAATGATATTATAGGTTCTGCAATGTGTTTATTTGAAATATTAACGTTTCGCGCCCATAGGGGCCTCGCAAAAAGTTACTGACTGTGGATTCTAAGCACTTAATAAATATTTTGAACAATTTGGTTTGATAATGGCATTAACAATATTCGAAATATTTCCGAATGTTTATATAGTAACCAGATTCATGTTCACACTTCCAGTCAGTATAGCTTCCACGGAAAGAAGTTCCTCAAATTTAAAATTGATTAAGACGTACTAGACGTACAATAATGATTCAAGAGAGACTATCTCCATTCGAAATTCTATAAACTGAAGCGAAAATAGCAGCTGGCGCAAATTATGAAAAATTGAGTGAAGCTAAAAGTAGGAAAATTCATTTATTTTAATTTGTGTTATTTTAATTTGATTAGCAATAAAACTTTCAGTCATGCTTTGTCATATTAGTGGATGTAACTCATTTACTTTTACAACTGGATTATAAAGGGGGCCTCGCAATTCTAATGTCGCCGACGTCCAGAGTTGGTCTAGCTCCGACACTGCCTAGATATCTTAAAACTTTAGCTTCATTGGCATAAAGCGGAGATGAAGAAATTGTCCAAAATAGCTGACTCTACTTGAAATCAAAGTCAAATTAGCGTATCCGGGAAATTTGAATCTCGACTTAATATTAATCAAGTAAATCTTGTTATTGCGGTAATTTTTTTTAAGGTTCAAAGACTTTTATTATAAACCTACATTGACATAATAGCCCTTTTAATGAGAGATTATATAAATCAATTTGTATTTCAATTGTTATATGAGCATCTGACATGACTTTGGTATATTGAGGAAATAACATTCAGAAGCAAACATATAAATATCTCTTACGAGTCTTGTAAATTGTCCTATTATAATTGTCCAAAACTATTGTTTATAAAACAACTATGAGTACTAGAGCTAAAACTATATTGCAAATAATCTAGTACTGTATTGTGATGCAAATAAATAATTTTGCACACGGTAGGACGGACAGACAAACAGATGGTTGAGGACATTTGTTTTATTACATTCCTATTATTTCTTACTATAATTTGTTAATTCATAAGATGAGATCTCGATTAGAGACGTCGATTCATCTGGAAGCAATGTTAAATACACTTAACGCATACATAAAGCAATCCACGAAGTTGTTTATAAATACTGGTAATATAAGCATTATTTTCCAACATATATTAGACATATATTTTCAATGGTTAAAAAATTGCCGTCTATTGCCAAATGTAGAATTGAATTTTTTCCAATCTTCTTCAGACATCTCTAAAATATGGTTTTTCAATGCAACAACAGCTTCATCCGCCGACGAAAATCGTTGTCCAAGCAATTTATTCTTTACGTTCGACGTTCGGGAACAAGAAGAAGTCATTGGGTGCCAAATCAGAATGGTACAGTGGATGACCCATCAATTCGATTTTGTGAATGTTCGTTGTTAGTTGTTGTTAGATGAGATGTGTGAGCATTCGCATTGTCTTGATGGAGATGGAGAATGATCTGACGGTGCTTGTTGGAATTGATTGTTTAACATTCTTTTAATGGTAATGGTACTGTTGCCACATGACCAGTTTTCCCGAGAAAACAAACGACCATTTGTTTCAAAGTGCTTCGAACTTTTGTAGGGTTTGGTTTGTCTTGAAACACCTATATAGTCGACTGCAGTTTATGTTTCAGTTTAGGCGCATATATCCATGATTCGTCACCTGTTGCACAGCTAAATGATAATTCAATATTTTATATAAGCTGGTGAAAATAATGCTTAGGGTTCCCTCAATTTCACAGTATATCGCATAACGATCTTGCATTATCAGTTTTTGCACAGCATCCATGTCTTCTGGCTTAACAACTAAACAACTGATTTTGGACGATCTTCACAAATTTCATCTGTGAGCGAACTGCGGCCACAATTAAAATCATTGTACAGGCATTTCGCAATGGCAAAGGATGGAGCTTCATCGCCAAATGTGGAAGTAAGTTGATCGATGTACTTTTCTTGATAATTCACGTTGAAAGTCATCGTGCGTAATAAATCATCGCACGAAAATTTTCTCGTGTTAATTCCATTTTTTCGCGGGCACTCTAGAAATCACTGTAAATAATACAAATAATGCTCTTTTGACAAAAAATAATAAGGTAAGTTATGTTTAATAATGCTAAACTTTAGTATGGAAACGTCAGATGACACTTGACAACAGTCAGTCTTACCAAGGCACAAAATTTAAATAGTGACCCTCGTAAAAAAAAACCGGATCGAGATATTTTGCTAGAATTAATGAGCTCATTGATTTTTTTACGTCTTAATATATAGAACAAGAACTATAATTTATTTTGTGTTGATTTGTTATAACTTGGGTAGTACATTCGCTTCTAGAGAATATTGCTAAATTATTTAGTAATAGGTTTTGCTGTGAGTACTGATATCTAGACTAATGATCAATATCTATATGGAAATCATAAAGGATTCGTAAGCATTGGATTTCAAAAAAATAAAATCATGCTAAAGAATATCATGCTAAAGAGCGTTCTCAAGTAATTAACTCCCAATAAAGATAGATATAAGTTCAGTTTAGTTAGCTGGAAAGTCGGCTGATTAAAGAAATACCACAAAGTTTTTATCACTCAGTGGGTTATAAAAAAGTATTTTGGGCTATTTAAAAATAAATTGTGATCAATAAAATCTTATTGATGCATTTGTAGAAAATGTATCTTCTAATATAAAAAAACCGCAACTCGATCTTCTAACACCATTACGTTTGTAGACACTTAGGCTGAAACGAAGACAATTATACGCAGAATGTTAGGGGATTCTAATGAATTTCTGAGCCTAACTATCAAATATGGAGCATCACAAGGTTTAGTCGGTTTAGGATTACATGAGCTACCCAGAATGAACTTCATTATTTATATAAATAAGACATAAACATAAACGATGCCTAAGACACAAACTATACGAACTATTTATGAGTATAGATAAATTCACCATTGCGGGAACGAATGGCTTGTTGATTAATCGGGATAGACTGTGAGGTCACTTTAGCTCTATTACCTACATAAAATAGGAAAAAATTTAGAAATCTTTAAAGCTGCACCAAACTTATAATTCACTAATTGCACTAATTGGAGGGCTTTTACACCTATCGATAAAGACATGTCGCATTTCGACAAATGAACTGAGCAAAAGCTGCCATGATGAAGTTTTGGAATCCAAGAATCACTTTTTATATCTTTTTCCATGACTACAGGCGAAAAAACGAACTTCGTTGTCTAGAAGATTGTTTCCTCAGCAGCCTGGCAGGGGTGGTTAAGGTAGACTTATAGGACTTTTATAACATCATCTGGAAGACCAAATGGTTTAAAAAGGATAGCATACGGAGTTATAAAAAAAATAATGCTTAGAACAGCTGACTGCTTCCTGTATCGGAATGGGCAATAGATATCTCCAAATAGAAATATTGATACTTGTCTTAACACGCACAATCTTAACTGAATCTAACCTGCTGTTAGTGAGGCAAATTGTTTTCTTTATCTGAATTTGTTGTTGTTGTTACTAAATATGAGTATTATTGGATATTAAATACATACTAATACAATACAATAAAAAAAGGAATTTTTTTTGCAAGCAAATAACTAATAACAAAAATTTTTATAGAATTTAAAAGTAAAAGTAAAAGTAAAAGGTTAGATAGAGGGTTATATCAGTATTTAGTTAAGGCTGATTTACGTATTTAAATTAAAGAGCGTTACTTACATTTTTCAAATGTATCTATATACTTATTTAATAAAACATGTCAACATTTGTTTCAAAATTAATACCTATGTGGGCACTCCGAAATCGAATTCGAAATGCCTGTCCTTTCATCGCTGACATCAGTGCATATCATAACGCTCAGACATAACTCAATGAACTCCTCTTAAATGTATCTAAATAATTACACAAATATTTTCATTTGAAATTTCAATATTAAAAACAAACACTTTCAGCTGCAGATACTTTCGAAACATGAACTTAGATAGAATTTTGGTGTGGATAAATTATTATTAACAATTTGCAGTTTGCAAAAATGTTTCGAAATCCGAATGTGCAACAACAAAATCGGCCTTTGCACTTTACAGTGCAAATTCAAATTGTCGAATTATCACATTAAGTAGCCCTCGTAGCTGGGCTGCTTCGATAACAGCAGTATGAGCCAAAGCAAAGCGAATGGGTCCACAGGTGCTAATTATTCGCAAATATTTATTTTCACTCTGAAGCAGCACTTTTGATTTCAATTGTGCGAACTTGTGTGCATTAAAAAAACGAGTACTTCCAATTATAAAATTAAACCAAAAAACAAAAAAAAATATTTTGAAAGAATAATTTTAAAGCTTTATAGGCTTTATTTTAAGCTACATGGGTCTTTCGATGTTGAGTGTTGTGTTTAAATTAGACGCCGCGACGTCGTTCATTAATATTCCATAAATTCACGTCTTAGATATGCGAAATTAATATTCACAGCAGACGTGAAGCAGTGCCAGTTTTAGGTAAAGATGGACTCGTTTTGCGATGGAACAAATCAAAATTAAAGATTGAACTCAGGCTCAAATTGCAGTGCTTTTTGCACGAAGGTTAAATTTCTTATTGAACAGTCCAAAACTTTAGGTTTTTATTCAAATATTCGAATAGAAGTATTTCGGCATGAAGATATATTTGTACATAAGGCACACATTGCAAAACTATGTACAAACACTTGGTAAACATTTTATCGGAAAGCCTCAAACATAATTTGGATCGCAAAATGACATTTCCAAAATACCAAATGAAAGAGCCATGAAATTGAAACTACAGTAAGCTAGTTTATAAGTATTAAAAACTTTCAAATTTTTAAATTTTGCTCTCAAGAAAACTAAGCTAGTTGTGGGTTAATAAATATTTATTACACATTTTATTATTTATTAAAGCTTTCACGTGAAATCGCCCAGTAGCCGGTACTACGGCGAGAAGAGACATATTGTAGCAATTTCAGTATTGATTACACAAAGCCCTTTAAAGTTTTGTGAACAAAGTCCAGAACTAAATCTAGAGAAGAGCTCTTAATTTGTTTTGGTGACAGTCACAGAGAATATGCATAGTAGTTTGTTACACGTTAGGTAACTATCTAAATAGATAATGCTAAATAGATATATATTTTATATCATAAACATTCTTCCCTCTTCTTCCATGATATTAATATCTATTGTCAACTTAAAAATAAGTAAGTAGGTTAAAATAGTTGGCGACGCCAGTTAAGAGCGTGATTTCCAGAGTCGAACTGAATAAATCGGGAATAAATTGGTAAAAATATAGTAATATAGAGTATATATAACAATATAGTATTATTAATATATCTATATACAAATGAGTATATGCATGAGAAACAATTCTTGGAAATAGAAAGGGGTTCCAAAAACAATATAGCATTGAGGAAAATGCTTGACTATTTAAACGTATAAATATGTGGTGAAATAAATTATTTGAGTGTTAGATATATGTTTAGTTCATAATGGATCTTAAAAATATAATTAATATAAATAAATAATAGTTCAAATCTTAAACATATAATTTTATTCTTTGAATGTATTTAGTCATGCATAAAAATATTTAATCAAAAGAATCACACCATTATCATTAACATAGTCACTGTCATTTACATTAACAGATCACTTATCAGATCACCTCTTAATAAGCTAGAGTCACCACTCTACCTGTAGTAGAGTACAAAGCTTATCTTACAGAAAACACCTCACTTAGAATTACAATAAAGACACTTGCTTCACAAAGATTCCCATATAATCGTGTAGTATAGTATCTCTCTCCACTTTTCTACACTACACATCAGTAGAAAATATTTAAAAATTGAAATATGTGTCAGAGTCATTTATGTTAGTATCACAATGGTCTACCTATTTGATATAGGTGGATCTTAAATTTTGGAATCGTCATTTTAATATGTGATATTTGTAACATAGTAAAAAAATATTCATATAATCTTTTATCATAGATCTGAAATATGTGACAGTTATTTATGATAATAACACAAAAAATTTTTTTGTGTAAGTAAATCCAAGCGTTGGTACTAACCAATGCTGTCATGATCTACGGTATTTATCAAAATTACAAATTACAAAAGTCATACACTTTTACAACATCTTTTGAAATTATTGCACTGATCTCTTATCAAAGTACGGAAGCATGTGAAAATTATTAATGGTGATATCATAATAATCTATTTAGTGGATCTTAATTTGTTGGAAACTCTATAAATGAACAAGATGGTGTGGTATAGCATATAACAACATAAACACCAAAATAAGAACACAAAAACAGTTAGATATCGGAAGGAAGTCTTGAACTGATCTGCAATCAAAGAAGGGTATAACAAAGGAATGGTAACACCATAATGAACTAACTATTCAGTTTAAATATATCTCAACTTCTTGGAATTTCCATTTTAACCAATAATACATATCAAAACCAAAGAAGACAGAAACTTTAGAATATTGGTTAAAAATGGTTAACTAATCCATAGTCAAAAAATAATATATGCGATCTTTTCGGTGTAAGTGGATCTCAAGTTGTTGGAATTTTCATTTTAATTAAAGAAGACATAAAATTTAGAATATCTTTAGAAAATATTAACTAATCTAGAACTAAAGAACTGAAAATTTCAAAGTTATTTATAGTTATATCACAATGATCTTTTCGGTGTAAGTGGATCACAAGTTGTTGGAATTTCCATTTTAATTGAAATTCATTTTAAAGAAGACATGAAATTTAGAACATCGTTAGAAAATATTAACTAATCTAGAATTAAAGAACTGAAAACTTTCAAAGTTATTTATGGTTATATGACAATAACTCTTCTTGACTCTTCATCTTAATTTGTGACATATAACAAAATCACAGAAAATGTTTTTTTGATTTTGATTTTAATAGTTCTATCTAAATAATAATACATTTGCAGAACTATTATTTTTATCGTTTTAATTGCTCTAGGTCAGTGCTTTGAATAGCAAAGTTGTTCAATTGATAAGTTCAGATCTATTGAACTAGAGTTCAACCAATGGTATTGAAAAGCACAAATTAACTCAAATGTGGTGAATGAAATTCTGAATAGGTGAGTACGTTAAGTGCGGTAAATGCGGTAAATGCTTGCTGATATATAATAAAAATTCTGAAATTAGTGCAGATACTTACTGTATAATTTCGTGCTCAATCATTTTTATTTTAAATTTCTCGAATTTCTGAATTTTTCGAATTTCTTGTTGTTTATTTAGAACCACAAACAGTTTTTTTCAAATTTCACTTGTTATTTTTATATAATTGATTTACATATAATTTTTCAAATTTTTAATATTATTTGATTTTTTTCTGTTTTCAATAAAAAAATGCAAATGCTATTATGCACTTCCCCGTAAGCACCCGTTTCTGAAATTGCGAAAAATTTCAATATGTTTACTTTCGTTTTCACTGGCCAACTGAGTGGCGTAACCTGCATAGAAGAGAAATGTTGCCACAAATGCGATTGCAAGACTACACAAAGCAACTGAAAGCAACTCAAAGCAACTTAAAGCGACTAAATCAAGCGAAATAAGACTCTATAAAAAGTATTTGGCTCGCTATACATTCGTTGGCACTTCCTACATAAGCATAAGCATACGCCTGACTGTCTGGCCTGTTTTGTCTGACTGTCTCTTTGGTCGGCACATTGTGGGTCTTTGAATGGGTTTACTGGTACGTGTGCGACTGCATTTCTTTTGCTGTCTACCATTGAACTTAGCGATCCAGTCATGAGGGTGAGATGCCCTATAATAGCGGTTTCACAGCCAAGTAACGACTACTTGCCGCAATGTGTCTTTTTGCGAAAAAGCCTTATGTTGCATAAAATGCACTCGATATGTGTTGCGAAGAAATTGAAGTGTGTGTGTCAAATAATTGTAATTGCATTGGAAGACTAATGCCGTGCAATGGTTTTCTTGCTATTATCTGACTATTCGTTTGGAATTGTTTCTATTATATTATCTTCACTTTATATTTTTGTGGCAGTAAGGAAAATGCATAGGAAAAGTGTTTTGCAACGCTTTAGCAAAAAAAATATGAGTGCACGTCAGTATGTGCGAGCCAAATGTCTGCAACATTTCGTAGCGTCACGTCTCCGACTTGTGTACGAGCACAACAATTGTGTCACATATTTTTCTAACAATTCCATTGCACGCGCTTTTGCTCATCGTACGTTACCGCACACTGCGTATGAGCAACACAAATTCGCAGCCGCGGTGCATCGCGCCCAACTTGGGAAATTGCATACGCGTCTGACTTTTCTCACAATTTCATTTCTGCCACATTGCCACATTGCCGCTTCGCTGTTGCGACTTTTATTGTTGCAGCAACAACTTTTGCTTTCATTTCTGCAGCTTGCAACAATTTGCAGTAAGGAAATTGCACGCGGAAGTGCAGTGCGCATCTGATAATGTGCCCGACCGGTTTCGAAGCTGTCAACAACAAAAATTTATCTAACACAGTCGATAAAGCGGAATTTTATTATCGCAAAAAGGCAACAACACAGTTTTTTCTTTTTGAATTATTTTTAAAATTTTTATCGAGAAGAAACTAAAGCTTTATACTTGAAAATTGTGATTTTTTGGTATATCTTTAAGTTGCATAAAAATTTTTGCGATACACAACCACAACACTGCGCCGTTCGTCAATGACTGACTTAAGCCGGGCACACTTCACAACGCGTTAAGCTCGACTGTTTGTCTTCAAATTTGGTGTCGAATTGATTTTGTTGTTTTCTGCTTTAGTTTCCTAAATTCAAGTCAACTTCAACGACAAAACCTGCACGAATTGAGGAACGCTTATATGCGTAATCACATACCTAGGTCTGATTTCATATAGCAAAGCCTCAGAAAATTCAATGGTTAAACACTTCTGCAATTACGAAACTTTGAACAATAAAAACCAACCATTCTCGTAACCATCATAATCTCATATTTAGTTTTGAAACTGATATCAGGATGATTTCAAAAACATATCATAAATTCTTTACGCTATCCCTAGAAACATACGGAAGTATTATAAAAATTGTGATCTTAAACGAGTTTTACAAAATTTTATATATTAAAATCTGTAGGTGTGGCAATAAGTTGGAAAATGGTTGTACTAGGATAGGTTAGATTGGAGTGGCGGGGGCTTATGTCTGAAGTCCACATGAGCTTAAATAATGGTCTCTTGTGATACTTGATTATACTATTCCACATTTATTTTCGACGAATAACATCTCTCGGCCAAAGTTTATTGTCAATCTTTGAATAAAATTACTGACGTCGTTGCGTTCCCGAAAACCTCTGAAGGATATAATTTTTATATAATAAACGTTCTAAAGAAAACAGATATAGATAATTGATAAATTATTAATTTGGAAATCTATTAATACTGATGTCCAGCTTATAAACAAAAACTTTGTGAAAATACATAATAAATTAAGATTCTACTGTTTATTCTGTGTGATTATGTATTATCTAATCAGATAATATTATCTGTAATATTATCAGATTCTACTGCTTATTGTATGTAATCATGTATTATCTGATCAGATAATATTATCTGTAATTCCATATATTTATGTATATAAAGATGCAAAATCATTTTTACCTGGTTAATCAATATGTAAATCGATTTTGCGAGACCGTTTTTGTCGTCGAGGCCTAATGGTATAAATTTGTAAATGTCAGTAGTATTTCCACACAATTCATTATTGAATTCAAAATTAATCATGTATACAAATCTTCGAATTCGAATTGAATATACATACATATATTTATATTTCAATTGATATTTTTAAGATGTTATCTTAAGTGTTAAATATCTGGTTCTTATAGTTTAGTATCTTGATAAAAAATTTTATGTCTGCTTTGAGGAATCTATATTGCTTACTGTACACTCTATGATTATAAAATACAAATACTTATTCTAAAATACTATATTCTCTATTCTATGATAATACTTTTTTGTCACAATCGGTAGTAGTTTAATAAATTATTCATTATTATAAATGAATAATCGGTAGTAGTTTAATAAATTATTCATTTATAATATTACCGACGATGAAAGTATTACTCAAAAACTATCTGTAATCAAAAAGCAATAAGTATTCGTGTGCAAAACATGGTTTTAATTAAAGTATGTTTTGGTTTTCATCAACTAATTGTTTGATTTGCAAAATTTAAATGAAGACGAATTTTTGTATTTCTCCGAATATAGGTCAAAGCAAAAAGTAGACCTTCAAAACTATTGATACTCACACAAACTCACACGAAAAGCAAAAAATTAAGTCAGAATTTTGGACAAAAAACTACATCAAGTCAAAACTTGGATTACAATGTATACATAGTACAATATATGGGTCCAAATTTTCAATATATTGAAAGCAAAAAAAGTTAAAGATAATTTAATTAAGTAAAGTAATATACATATTTAGAACCCAGAACAGGATTGTCCATTTTGTGTTACAAAAAGCAAACGTATATAAAGAATCTTGTATGATTAAAATTTATGTTAAATTAGAACTTCAATATGTTGTTTGAACCTTTCCATTGGTTATAAAATACAATATTTTATTGTGTTTTATATTTCAAAATGGCAATCGTAAACAAAATATATAATACCTATTTTTAATGACAGTTTCATTTGACATATGTCCCCGAAACAGTGCCGAAAAATCCACCAGACGGATAACACTATATATTGCATATGATTTCAGTTCTTATAGAAAGACGAACTTGCCAACCAACAGACAAAGCAGATGGACAGACCAAGAATATAATATATATGATTGATATTATTTTTAAGGTAACAAACAATATCCCAATTTAACATTCGTTTTACACCATAGAAGAAAAGCTATAAACCGATTTAAATTTTTTTATTCTGCTATATGAAAGCACAAAAGGTAATTTATTTTTAAAACTATTAATTATAAGAAAATTACTTTTCCAATATTGATCTTTTAAGATCTGTAGCCTTAAAAATAGTATTAGTAATAGTATTATTGCAAGCAATTAAGTCACCGATCAGAACTTATAATGATAATATCTTATTAAAGAAATTTTGTTATAATGTTATCATGCAAAAAAAAGTTAAGAAATTGCTCCCTACCAGGTCCCTGACACAAAAATTAATAGCAGTACCACAATATAGGAAATATTAATAGTGACGAATACAGGAAGTGGAGATTTTGGAACATAACTTCCATTTATGTTAATATTTATATAATATGATGTACACTAATACTAATAAGAGCTGCTTTATATTTTTTATACATGCCTCTTCCATATTTGAAGTACATATCTACATATATCTTAGTCTGAACTGGTTAAATTTCAGCACGAGGAACATATTGTTTTTTGTCACGATTGCACTTAAATATATATACTTGCATCAACTGAAGTTGGAAGATAAACAAACATAAATAGGCTTTCCGTAAAAAATGTTTATCTTAAGTAATTATTTAATTAAAATAACTTCAAGAATTGTTTTTTTTATTTATACACAACATGATTTTTATACATGTGTTTGTACATCTGTACATAAAATAAAAATTGTGTGATTTATATATAACATAAATTGTTTATATTACTGAATATCAAAAACCATGTTGACTGGTGTACTTATAACAGAATAAAAGAAAAACAAAAACAAAATTATAATTAGTACTTGCGTTAACAGTACCGATTACTGATAAAACTTTTTTATGACTTTTATGTCTGATAAAGTATGAAAAGCAACAGCTCAGCTCTGAACAGACTTGGTACGACACAAGAACTGCAGGCGCATAAACCCACTTACACTCATAAACGCATACCGGCGACATACATATTTACTTACACTTTCGAACACATACCGGCGACATATTTACTTAAGCTTTCATATTAACCACGTACAGAACAGTTTATATAAAAAATATACACAATGGAAACTTTTGTATATTTGAGTGAGCTAAATTTACACATGCCTAAAAGGAAGCGGGAGTAGGGAGCAAAAACAACAATAACGCCCGGTTCACATATTTAACCTTGTAGAGTTCATTAAATGAAGTTGAAACAGAAAGCAATAACAACACAATTACAAGAAATCAATGGAAAGAAACCTAACCAGGCTGTCAACTTGCAACTTGTGCCACATTAAAGCATGTGTAAAAGCATGTAAATTATTCTTACAG